GAGGAGAGAATTATGTTCAAATGAGTCTGATGTCCCCCAAGTGTTGGTGGGGCTTACAATTTATAGTGGCTTAATGTAGTAATTGAATAGCTAATCCAGCGGTCATAACGGGTTGAAGCCATTTAATAGTTATAACAGATTAGGATGACTTTAACAGTAATTAAATAGCTTGGTGACCTCTCCACTCCTAAACGAGCAAGGAAGTTATGATGCTCTCCAAAGGGCTTGATCAAAGGGTAAGGGAGGGTTGACTCTCTCCGAGTGGCGAAGGTAAGTCTCTTGGATGCTCCCTTACTCCAAAGTGGTAGAGGAGGCTCTTAGATGACCTTTACTCCATGGTGGTAGAAGAAGCTTTTAGATGAGCTCTTAGACGACCCTGCGTGGTCCTCTACTGATGTAACTCTTGGAACCTGATGAGCTTGATCGAGTGCAGATTCCTTTGGGCTTAACTAGCTGAACCTCTTGGAGTTGGGGTCCTTGAGCTTGTAACATGAGTTGGGACCTTGGGCTTGGCTCATCATTTGCCCCCCAAAGTCTTGTGTCCAATGCAACTTGGAGAAGAGGGCATTCGGTTCAGTTTGAATTTTTGGTTGACCGGCATAACTGAAAAAATTTCGAGAGGCCAAAACATCTGTTTCTAGGCCTTTATAGGCTAAAACATCATCGTGAGCTTCGATTTGATATATAATAAGCCTCGTTTGGATTCACGAAGCAAAAATTGTGGTCAAAATAACGAGTAGGGAGCCAGGTGCATAGTTTTGGGCGAGCAGATAGCTTTTGGGCGAGCGCATTGTGTCTTGAGCGAGCAGGCATAATTTTTTTTAAAAAAAACTTTGAGAGGCCAAAAAACCTATTTTGGGCCTTTTTTTGAAAAGCTCAGTACCAACGGTAATGATTTTTGCTCACCTCGTCGAGAGATTCGATTTGGTATTTAATAAGTCCCATTTTGAGTTACGGTCAAAATAGCGATCAGACCTTCTTGAAGACTGCTTTTGATTGGTGACTTTTTCCCTTCCCGTAGACTCCTTTTGCCTGTGAGACCCCATTAGCTGCATAAACTCCCTCTTTTGCTTCTTTTTTTAGATTTTTGAAGAGCACTAGATGGTGGAGGTGACTTGGGCGAGCTATCCTTTGCTCATGGTGGAGGTAATTTGGGCAAGATGTCCTTTGCTCATGGTGGAGGTGATTTGGGCTAGCTACCCTTGTGCACAGGAGGAGCGAGCAGGCCTGGGTGCCTATGCTTCAGCCGCCTTCGTTCGGCGAGCAAGCCAGGCGAAAGCGAACCAGGACATTGCTTAGTTGTTGTCCAGCGTGGCAGAGGTGCCATTTGAGATACGAGCAGACCATTGGATTGAGCTCGGGCAAGCAGCTTAAACCGTTGACCTTGTGGTGCCGATCTGAACAGAGGCAACAGCCTGATGTGGAGCTAATAGGCGTCATGGGTGCGCAAATGGCGCATGTGGGAATGCTTTGGGCGCTTGTAGGAGGCTTTGCTATGCACGCGATCAACGCTATGGAGAAGGGGAGAATTGGCTAGGCGGGCAGCAGGGTTGTTGTGTTGATCCAAGCGCTGGGCACCTATGTTACGGGCGAGTAGGAGGGGACAGATGAGACGCCTTCTACACTAGGCAGGCAGATGGGCACGACTACTGTGCGATGGATGAGTCAGCAGCGTTGGGCACTGTGCCGAGCGCTTGGGGTGTTGAGTGCTTGAGGTGTTGGGCGCCTGTGTTAGGCGCTTGAGAGAAGCTGAGTGCCTGAGAGGTGCTGCTCGAGAGGCAATTTTGCAGATCGCGATAGAGGAGTGCTGTTTGGAGACAAGCGAAGGCAGGCCTTGTTAAGTGTTGCAGCAATGAGCTGACGGTGCAGGATGGTTGAGGCCCGATTGTTGACATTCAATTTGATACAGTCCCGTAGGTTACAGACGACCTGAGTTTCAAAAGCGTGCCTAGCTATGACAAAAATAATGTTATTCCAACACCAAAAAATATATAACACGATTACCTGAAGAGAGAGACAGGTTGCTTGCATGAGAGTAAAGACAGAGTTTGAGGACCGAGCTTTTGGTGACCCATGAGAGAGTCACTAAACTGGAGGTATTGGTTGTCTGCTTGAGAGCAGAGCAGAGGCCAAGCTTTTGGCGACCCGCGAGATTGTCGCTAAGCTGGGGAAATAGGTTGTCTGTTTGAGAACAGTGCAGAGGCCAAGCTTTTGGCGACCCATGAGAGCAGCTCAGCTGAAAATAGGCTGCCTGCTTAAAAGCAGTGTAGAGGCCAAGTTTTTGACGACCCGTGAGAGAGCTGCACAGCTAAAAATAGGCTGCCTACTTGAGAGCAATGCAGAGGCCAAACTTTTGGTGACCCATGAGAGAGCCGCTAAGCTGGAGATATGTTGTCTGCTTAAGAGCAGAGCAGAGATATATCAAGTTTGTGGCGACTGATGAGATGATTCACGTCGCCTAGACTTGTTAATGTCCTTAGCATTCATATATTTTTGAGCTTTTGCTAATAGTTCTAGCATGCTCTTTGGTGGGTGTTTCATCACTGAGAAGAGAAAGTTTGATGACCGGAGGCCTCCTAGGATAGCGGTCATGCTGACCTTATCATTAGGCTCCTCAACCTGAAGGACATCCTCGTTAAAATGAGTGAGGTAGCTCCTCAGACTCTTGTCTCGATCCTACTTTATGCTGAGCAGGTGGATAACAGGCTTCTGTTGGCGCCATCCTCCAATGAAGTGTGACACGAAGGAACTGTTCATCTCAGTAAACGAGCCAATGGAGGCTAGAGAGAGCTTGGCGAATCATTGCCGAGCAGATCCCTTCAAGGTGGTTGAGAACGCTCTGCATGATTTCGTCGGGGACGTTGTGCAGCTGCATCAAGGTCTTAAAAGTTTCGAAGCAGTCCAGTGGATCCTTTGCACCGTCAAAGGTTTTAATGGATGACATCTTGAATTTTTGAGGGAGTGGGTAGTTCGCCACGTCAGTTTTGAAAGGTGTGTCGGTTCAACTTACGAGGTAGTCCACTGTCTTGGGTCCTTGTGCCTTCATGGCGTTGAAGATGTCACCCAATTGATTTTTTACCTCCTTAATTTTTTTGTTTCAATGATTAGGAGGAGGTACTATGGATTTATCACGAACATGACTCCCATGCTTCATGCTTTGATTTTCACCCTCATCCTCTTGGAAAGGAGGGTCTCCACCATGGGGAACAGGTGCAGGGGCTGGAGGAGGAGGTCCCTCATGATGGGTCCCCCTGTGTGGGGCACCTAAGGGAGCTCCCATAGGTGGGGTGTCCAACGGGGCTCTTAGATGGGGAGCGCCGAGGTGGGGAACTCCTTGATGACCTAGGAGTGGAGCTCCTCTAGCTTAAGGTCCAGGTTGCGCTCCTCCTTATTGCTCGAGCATCAATTGCAAAATTTGTTAGTTCTGGACTATAAGCTGCTGCATTGTGTCCAACATTTGTTGCGCATTTGGGACGGGATTGGCAGGTGGAGGAGCAACCTCCTCCTCTTGTGGTGGAATGTCTTCAGGCTGATTCATGGATCCCGATGGTGATCGTCTTTGATTCAGCAAAGAAAGTGTTTATGTGAGAATTATTTCGTTCTCACAAACGGCGCCAAACTGATGATGCACAAAATTGGTTTGCACACCACCTGTCAATTAAGTAATATAAAATGCAGTAAAGTAGAGGGAGAGAGAAGACAAAGTTTATAGTAGTTTGGTCAATATGACCTACGTCCACTTTGAATGACAAGGGTTGCCGAAATTTTGTTATCTCCAGTGTAAAGGGAGAGCACAAGATTACAAACTTTGAGAGGAGATGAGAGAATTATACTCAAATGAGTCTAATGCTCCCCAAGTGTTGGTGAGACTTACAATTTATAGTGGCTTAATGTAGTAATTGAATAGCTAGTCTGACGTTCATAACGGGTTGAAACCGTTTAATAGTCATAACGGATTAGAGTGACTTTAACAGTAATTAAATAGTTTGACGACCTCTCCTCTCCTCAACGAGTAAGGAAATTATAATGCTCTCTAAAGGGCTTGGTCAAAGGATGAGGGAAGGTTGACTCTCTCCGAGTGGTGAGGGTGAGGCTCTTGGATGCTCTTTAACTCCAAAGTGGTAGAGGAGGCTCTTGGATGACCCTTACTCTAAGATGGTAGAGGAGGCTTTTGGATAAACTCTTAGACGACCCTGCGTGGTCCTCTACTGATGTAACTCTTGGAACCTGATGAGCTTGATCGGGTGCACGCTCCTTTGGGCATAGCTAGCTGGATCTCTTGGAGTTGGGTCATTGGGCTCGTAACATGAGTTGAGCCCTTGGGCTTGGCCCATCAGTAACAACCATAGTAATAGCCACAACTACTAATAGAACGGTTCATAAGTTTAAAAAAAAATAACATAATTTTTCCATCCATATCAGAACAAATTCAAAATCAATATATCAAAACAACCAAGTAAAAATGGAATCTAAAAAATTTTTGCACAAAAAATAATAAAACCCTTAGCTCATGCATTTTATCAAACACTATTTGGGCATAACATATAAATTAAAGAATGTCATGGGCATTCGCTATCTGTTACGCTGCACAACAATCCACATGACCGCCTCTAATGATTTAATATCAAATTTATATAGAGATCGTATATGAAGTTGCCAAAAATAAAACTTAGCTATAACAAGATTACACACATATAATGCACAAATTTAGAATCCTCTCACATCCAAATAATGCTGGAGCGTCATAAATCAATAGCTATCTAGTCTAGCAACCTTCCAAAAGAAACCCCGAAATCCAATTTTCTGCTCAAGGAGTGTTGAAAATTGCATCTTCAAATCAATAGATATCTAAGTCGACAAGAAAAAATGAGCTGCATATGAGAACCTTCTGAACTCTTATTGGTATTGATGCGAAGAACACTTGAACAAGCCTCACTCAAAGTAATTCGTTTCAAGTGATAATTTGATCGAGAAGACCCAAAACCTCTCTTTCTCTGCTCATGGTGCGAATGGAGGAACAAGCGGTGCATGGTAGTGATTAGAAGCCTTGAGCAACATATTGCATGAGGGTAGAATATGAAATAATAATAAAAAAAATAGACTATTGGACCTACTTACTAAATATAACACATCATATGTCTTTAATAACCTAATAAGTTTGCACGTTCTTATTGGCAAAATAGATTGACATATTATCCTTGGTTCCAATTTTCACTATGTTTTTTGAGCTTTATTTGAGAGGAAGTATATAGATAAGTTATTTACTCTATTAAGTTTAGTTTTAATTCTGATAAAAAAAAAGTTTAATTTTAATAAAACATCTTCTGATTAGGTACAAATTTCAAATATTTTTTTATTTATTTTACTTGCTTATCCTTCCTTAACTTTTTATTTATTTCTTTTATTCTTTCACTCTCTCTCTCCCTATTTTTCACACTGTTACTTTCTCTTCATTACTCTCACTATCTTCCCTCTATTTTCTTTCTATCTCTCTCTGTTAGTTTCTCTATCTCTCCCCAATTTTCCCCCATCTCTTTTCTCTCTCTCTCTCTCTCTCTCTCTCTCTCTCTCTCACTTTCTCTCCCCTATTTTCTATCCTTATTACTCTATCTCCTTATTTTTTTCTCTCTTTATATCAACGTTATAACAATACAAGTACACCAATTAGTTACAATTCTCTTATAATACACCAAACAATTACTCATGTGTTCTGATAAACCAAATAAGTACACCAAACAATTACACAAAATTACAACACCAACTCAAATTTTCATTTAGTTGGTTACATAAACCAAAGAGTTACACCATTTAGTATCACGACATAGTTATACCAATTATATACACCAAATTTGGTGTACTGGTAAACTCTTTTATGTAATGATAAACTCAATTTCATGCATATAATTAGTGTAACTATATCGTGATACTAAATTGTGTAATTCTATGTTTATGTAAATAACTGAAAAACAAATTGAGTTAGTATTATAATTTTGTGTAATTGTTTGGTTTACTAAAACACGTGAGTAACTGTTTAGTGTATTATAGGACAATTATAACTAATTTGTGTAATTGTGTTGTTGTAACGTTAATATAAAGAGAGAAAGAGAATAAGGAGAGATAGTAACGGTGAGAGAAAATAAGGGAGAGAGAGTAATGGTGAGAGAAATAGGGGAGAGAGAGAATAAGCGAGAGAGAGAAATGAAAAAGTAAATAATATCTTTACATATTTGAAAAGAAAATAAATTATCAATGGGGGAGAGAGAAAGAGAGAGAAAATAGGGGATAGATAAGAGAGTAAATGAGAGAGAAAAAATAGGAAAACGAGCGTAATGGAGAAAGAGGGAGAGAGAATAATGGAGCAATGACTAACTTTTTAGTCTTTTTATAAAAAAAATGCACTTATGACCAAATAAGTTTTTTTAATTTAGTTTAACTCAATTAAGTTCAAATTTTTATACCGACTTCTAAATTTCCCTACTCAATTATATATAGTCGACCCTACCTGGCGTTGGAGTGGATGTAGATTTCGAACGATAGAAGAACATATTATTTTGGATAATGCTAGATTGAGTGAAAAATAGGACAAAAAAAAGGGTCAAATAATGTGGTGATGACATAAGAAACAAAATTCTAAACGAGTAAAAATGAGACTAAAAGTATTACAATATTAGACCATATCTAATAGACTCTTTTTTCTCACTTAATTCTATGTTATAGAGAGTTAACCCTTAAATTTTTTTCACTAATAGACTCTTCATTTACACTCTTTAAAATAAAGAGTTGAATTTAACTCTCTACATTTGGAACATCAAACTCATTCTACTTTTTTTTTGAACAGAAAAATGATATATTTGTCTTTTTATCTAAGACATTCATATTAACGTATCTCATTTAAAATAATGGAGAAAAAATATGAAAGAAGTCAAATTTATTGCCAAAAAAGATAAAACATAAAAAGTTCTATTGGAGTGGTGTGTAAAAATTCACTCTATATTGTAACTTTTTACTAAAAAAGCTCTCTAAAATAGAGAGCATCTTTACCCTGTTATTTTCGTTTTTTTCTCTCGGTTTAAGAATATTTTAAGGCTAAAGTTCTCTCTCTCTCACTGTCGAGCTAATTTGAGAATCAAATGTGTGCAGGCAGTAGGAGCATGTTGGTACTTGTTAGGGATCCAGAGGGGTGCAAAATGCCTGAAGGAGCAATGCATACAAGCAAAAGGTTGTGGTCTTAAAGAATTGGCTTGTGAAGAGATTATATGTTATGGAACAAGAAGGTTGGTGAGAGACGCATCAAGACAGATATGGGGGGAGAACAAACAAGCAAGGTCTACCTGCCTAGAAAGTGAGGATAACTATGGCTATGGAGTTTATAAATGGACAGTTCAACTTGTTACAAATGAAAACCGTATGGAGAAGATATTATTTCCTATCTTTTGGGGTCTAATGACTTTGAGGTAATTTTTTTCATTTCCATTATCATATTTTCTGAGCAGAAACAGTATTGGTCCCGAAAATATGTGCTTTAGTGTGTTCTTTCAAAAATGCCCTCAAGGTTTATTCATGTAATGAACACGTGACCATTTTTGTTAGAAATTTTAAGCTGCCGTTTTCGATTGGATCAATTAGATACAAAGTGTGCGTTTTGCTCAAAAAAATATGTTACATATACTTTTTTTCCTCCTTAGGTTTTTCTGTATTATCCTCCATATTTGCCTAATACTGTGTATCACATGTTACAGTACTTTTGGGGACTTGGAAAGCACAACAGATTGGTTAGAAGTTGTCTTCATTATTATAGTTTTAACCGCTGGGCTCCTTCTGGTCACCATGTTAATTGGCAATATCAAGGTAATATACGACCAATCTTAATTTGCTTCTCTTCTTGACAGTATTGTAACCAACTATATATGGAAACTGATTCCTTGAAATCATATGAACCTTCGATCAAGACAGGATAATCAATACTAAGATGTTATCTGCTCACCACCCAGTTTGGTGGTCTAGTGGTAAGTCCTACCCGTTGAGGGTTGTCCTTTACTCTCATGTGATTATCAAGTAGGGATCGATCCATGGGAGTAACGCGGCTTTGGTGGTGCCATGGTGATTGGCTACCCTTCCGAATTAGTAGTTATAGGTCAAATCGAACATTCCACAGTGAGGAACACCATGATTATGCCCAGGGAGAGTTACTACTATGACAATCAGCCAAAAAAAAGTTGTTATCTGCTCAATAAAGGACACAATAGTAGTCCCAAATGCATGGACTTGTAGGGATTGAAAAAATGCTCTCAAGTCACCTTATTTTGTCAGTAGAATTTGGATTTATAACGACGACAAATGCTCGTTTGTCTAAAAGATATGTTAAATATTCGAATTCAAAAATTAACCTCTCCAAAATGACGGTAAAACTGTCTACCTACCACTTCTTCCAATCCCCACAAAAAACAAGAACTAATATGTACCAAGTTGGACCTTATTTTTTTAGCAAAGGAAACTACGCAAAATGACATTTTTGGTTACTTTATAATTTTCTGATTGGTCACCAAATAGTTAGATTGATAAGGAAATTGATTAATGAAACAACCGTAACCTCAATGATGGCAAAGGAAAGCATGTCTTTTGGTGACAATTATCTGCATTATTTTTTTTGTGTGTGAGAATATATACAGGTGTTTTTGCACGCAACAACGTCAAAGAAACAGGCAATGCATTTGAAGATGAGGAACATCGAGTGGTGGATGAGGAGGAGACACTTACCACAGGGTTTCCGGCATAGAGTGCGGAACTATGAGAGGCAGCGTTGGGCGGCAATGCGCGGGGTTGACGAATGTGAGATGATCCGAAATCTCCCCGAAGGCCTTAGGAGGGACATCAAATACCATCTATGCCTGGACTTGGTGAGACAGGTACAACAAATATCAGATAAACTTAACATTCACAAACCAAGCATTAATACACATCCAATAATAATAACCATGATATTAATATTCGACCTGTTTAGAAAACTGAACTCGATGGAATCTAGTAAAAGATATTCATGCATGAAATTTATAATTTTTTAAAATGTTTCAGGTACCTTTGTTTCAACATATGGATAATTTGGTCCTGGAGAACATCTGTGATCGCGTGAAGTCCCTCATCTTCACAAAGGGAGAAACAGTGAGTCCAATCCTTGACATATGAACTTTGTCATTGTATTGGAATTTCGATATTATCATATGTATAAAAAAGGGTACTATCCTAATTAATTCATCCATGAGTTGTATGCAGATAACTAGGGAGGGTGATCCAGTACAGAGAATGTTATTTATAGTAAGAGGTCATCTCCAGAGCAGCCAAGTCCTCCGAGATGGCGTAAAAAGTTGCTGCATGTTAGGCCCTGGAAACTTCAGTGGAGACGAACTTCTGTCATGGTGCCTCAGAAGACCCTTCATAGAGAGGCTACCTCCATCTTCATCAACCCTAATTACACTTGAAACCACTGAAGCTTTCGGACTAGAAGCTGAGGATGTGAAATATGTCACCCAACATTTCCGATACACATTTGTTAACGAAAAAGTGAAGAGAAGCGCGAGATATTACTCTCCTGGATGGAGAACCTGGGCGGCGGTTGCTATTCAGTTGGCTTGGAGGAGGTACAAACACCGGTTGACGCTAACCTCGTTATCGTTTATCAGGCCACGCAGACCCTTATCGCGGTGTTCTTCGTTGGGTGAGGATAGGCTCAGGCTCTATACTGCTTTGTTGACTTCACCAAAGCCGAATCAAGATGATTTTGATATTTGAAGGCAGTCAGAAGTCAAAACCAGCTTGCATTGTGCAATCCCATTATGTCTACAAATATACAGTCGTGGGCAACATTGTAATTTATTTAGTACTTTTATTACTACTTCTGAACGTTCACCGTTTCATGGATAGAAGAAAAGCAGGTGTAGGCTTGTTTTGTTTTGTCCTTCTCCCTTTCTTTTCTTTTCTTTTTCTTTTTCTTTTTTTTGCATGGGGAGGGATTTCACTCTAGGACAAAAGGCATGTTATTGAGACAAGTAAATCAGACAAGTAAATCTGAGCCTTGTTTCTAAAGGTGTCAAAATATAACACGACCATTAATATGACACAAAATTAGTGAGTCTAAATCTTTCTTATGCTCCCTTTGGTGGAAGGGATGAAAAGTAGAAGGAATACACTTTCTATCATTTTAGAAAAAAAAGTGCGTATGATACATTTTCGTTCCTTTATGTTGAGTAGGATGGATAAAAAATAAAAATAATTAATTTTTTTTTTGTACTTGGTAAGATAAAAAATATTTTTTATTTTTTAAAAATTTTATTTTTAATTTTTGTAAAAAAAATATAAATACATATTATATCATTGTATTTATATATAAAATTAATGTATACATAATATATGTATATATCAAAAAATATATAGACATATAAGATATATTTCAACATAAATAATTAATTTTCTATTCACTTTTCTAATTTTGAAAATATTGATTTTGATGAGTTAAAAGAAAAACTCATCAATCCACTTTTCCATCCTTCCTATTTTCCTTCCTTACCAAACATGATATTTTATTTATCTCTCTAATTTTTCATCCTTTCATTTTTTCCACCAAACGGAACCTTAAGCTACCTATTTCATAAATGAGTGGACCAGATTAATAAACGAATTAGATATAGGTGAAGACAATAAAAAAAAAAAAGATTTGTTCATATATCAATTATACACAATACAAACTCAATATAACACGATTTATTATACACAACACAAACTTAATATAACACAATTTATTATACACAAATTAATAAACAGATTGGGTATGAGTAGAATACTTTTTAACACAAATTTACTTCACTCGACACTATTGAGAGGCCGACATGTTTATGTTTTCGGCTACCAAGATGACTAATTAGACTTGATGTATAGGAATTCATACTTAAGTTCAATGTTTCAACTACTGTTTACTTACAAAAAGTCCTTTATTTACAAAACCCAAATCCCAAAATAAGGCACTTGTGGCAAAATATAGAGATCATGTCATGATATATCAAATCACATTTTTGTTCTCCATATTAGGTAGTAGACTGGACCTCCCATTCCAGTCCATCAAACTTACCGGCTACTGAGGTAGTAGTAGGATATGATCGCAGATTTCTTATGCAGGCAAAGGAGCACTTACAACAGAAGCAAGTGGTGTTTTACAAAGAGTCTACTTCCACAACCTGTTGCTGAGCAAGGTATTTCTCCCTTCGCTCTTTCTGAAGAAACAAGAAGGGGGGGAATAAAAGATATTACAGAAAACAAAGTGGAGAGAGGTAATAAAATCGACGATGTACAAATAAGTCATATATGGGGAGCATACCCATTCATCTATGACAAGCCCGTCCCCAACAACTTGAGGACCCGTGTCTACTAGAGGTTTCTTGCGTGTTTCTGCTGTGGCATCAGCTTCGGCCAACTGACGCTTTAGTTTTTCTAGTGCCTTAACATAAACAACCGCAATGTCACTATAATGCATTACTCAACGTGAAAAATATAAATATAAATGACCACAATGTCACTATAATGCATTATTCAACTTGAAACATCATGAATATGAGCAGAACAACATTTATGGTTATTCTCTTACTTACAGGACATTGGCGTTCCACATCTAAAAACACAGCAAGCAGAATACGTTCAACAACTACTTGATCCTTTTGCTCATCAAACTGCATGAAATAATGAAGAAATGTATCAGCTGAGCACTAATAAACCTCTCAAAGACGAAACACAGCTTGCACCACCATTCACAATTATGTCCGCCAACAACTATATTAACTATATCATACAGGGTGAAATCCCACATGTAACTGAGGTTACAACTACATCACATACACATGAGATTTGCACACAAAGATAGTGAAAGAAAAAGAAAATTTGGCATCGTTATCACTAATAACATGGTAAGTAAACTAAGGGAAAGTTAAAATAAACAGTCATCTTCATGCTCAACTCATAAAAACTCACAATGTCCTTTGCAAGTTTTCTTAAATACAGGCTGACACAGGTGTGCTTCCTTGCTTGTTTTTGTATAATGAAATCACAACAGCCATCAGAAAAATGTACAGGGTAATACTATAGAATATATCATGCATTTTGACATGATCACCAAATGCACATAGCACAATTTGTATGTAGCTTAAAGAATGAACTTATTCTGTTTTTCCTAACATGTACAGGTTTTCCTCTAACATGTTTAGGAACATTTTATAACTTAAAGCAACTACAATTAGCTAACACAGTCATTATTGCTAGTACAGTTATAGCCTCACCAAAAAAATCATAAAGCACACTTGGCCAAACAACATTGGCTATATTAGGGACTAAAACATCATAAATAATGCAATCACCCAGTGATGCTTAAGAAGCAAACGACAAGCTTCTGGAAAAATTTGTTAAGTATTTTTTATGCATATGGAACATTAATATTTCATGACCATACACCTAGCGTCATTAAATGATTGGACCCTAAAGTCCAGAAATCTGCCACTCCATGTCGACAGCCAGCAGTTGCCGGACTAGCCTTTTGAAGCTTTCTCGCTTCCTCCTAAAGGGGAACACCTTGGCTTTACGACTTTTCTGTTCTTACTAATCCTTCCCTTCTTTCTAGGCCTGGACTAATGCTTCCTTATGTCATTAGCTTAAGGCTAGTTTAATGGAAGGATGCCTTGCAATAAGTTTTATACGTCAGGGGTTGGAGAACATATAATGATTGGGTTATATTCTTTTTTGAGATCACAGTGCAACAGAGCATTATCTATCAAACAAACTGAAACATTGACTACAAGTAACGATAGCAGGCCATAGGCAAGCACACTTCAAATTATATTTTCAACGCATCCTAAGATATGAATTTACTGTAATTCCATTTCTTTTAGACTTCCGGTGATTCATCTCGCGCATCTTTCAAGATGGTACTAGAATCTTCGCCAATTGCAACGTAAACATCGCCAATTGCATCACGTTATCAAGCTGAACCACAAAGGTAAAATCTACAAGCCTTGATTTCATGGATTGCTAATATTGATCACAATTCACTCAATGTGGTGATTATATGGATTGCTATTTATTGATGTCAATTTATTTTATGTGGTGACCCCATTGCTCTAATGATCTAAAGGATGCAATGTGTCTTCAATGTGTAACAGTACTCATACCACATCTCCTCGTGCACAAGTTCCCTTCGGTGACATAATTCTCCTCAATTAGGTCCAAAAATCCCTATCATCTTTATTGATCTCAAGGAAGATGATATACAAGAATGAAAAGAACAGGGGAAAAAAAAAAGAATTGAACTCTACTAGAGATGTAAGATGTCAAACTATACTGCTCAAACATTATTGTATCATGGTAGTCTCATTCTATAGATTTACACCAGGCCCCTTAATGATCTCACCAGATTTTCAGCCATGTTTGACCCCATAACGATATCACAAGATTTTTAGCCATGTTCACTAAAAAATAAGAAACTAAGATTAAGGGCATAGAACTTACCAACTCAGGTACATAATCTGTTCCTGCTTTCATCTTCAGACTAATGATCTTGAACTTCACCTTGTTCTTGTGATCTAATTGTTTCTCATTGTTCTCTGGAAGCTCCATGAACTTGAACACTGTCAAACATATTGGAAATCCAAATGAAGCACAGATATAAACAACAATTGGAGACTAAAATAACCCTGGATGTTATATAGCCCCAGATTCCCAACGTAATACAACCCCATTGTATCCCTTATTAACAAAAAGAGAATAATTGAAATCTAGATGAATAAGCACACGAAAATTACCAGTAGCAATGAGACTTTCTCCAGGAGCAAGAATTCCTCCAGGTGGTCGCATGTAACAACTCTTTGGTGCAGTAGTTTGAAACTAACACGTGATAAACAAGAGCAGTTAGAAATTTCAATGGACTTACGTACATAGACCACAAACACCGGGGGAGGGTGGGGGAACAATTTGCTGAAAAAACATCATCATAATTAAAAGAAACAGGAAAGCAATGCCGAAAAAAACTTGGGAAAAATATCGGCTCCCCGAGATGTTCAAATCAAATGCCCCATAGGTACTCACTCCAACGCCATGTAATGAAGAAAAGTACTCTTCCTAAATTGTAAACTATTCACATAACTAATAAAGAATTTGGAAGATCAGCTATGACAATGAAACTATAGTTTGACTGACATTGAAAATCCTATCTACGATAAGGCCTTGAACAATGGAGTGACAAAAAAATCAATTATCAAATTAATTAAAAGGGCAAAAAATAAATCAAGTTACCTTGAAAGCCACATGAGACCTGCTCTTATTCTTTATTCCAACGGCACTCCTGATCTGTTTGCCCGGTTCATCTTTAACATACACAAACCTAAAATAATGAGGAACCACAATAGAAATCTAAAATCCAAAAAACAATTTGAGTATGTGAGTGTGTGCGCGCGCCCAAATTGAAGGAAAACATATTCTAAACACACTTCTTCCACTTAATTTCAAGTCTCTTTTGTTTTCCTTACATTTTCTCGGCAATCAAAAGCATAGAGCTAATAAAACAAGCAATTCTTGTCTCCGCAAAAGTCAATTTACTGATAAACAAAGGACAAGCTAACAAGACCGGGCAAGAATGATCAGACGTCAACGAGGAACAAAACAACGACTCACAAGGAAAGTATAGAGTGCTAGCTGGATCAAACCGGAGTCTACGCCTGACCGGAAGGAGAGATTTTGCGACAGAAGAAACAGAATTCGAAGAGCGAGTGCTTGATCCAACACCGTTTTGGTGGCTCTGAGTTGAAGAAGAGGACGAAGAAGTTGTTCCTGATTGCCAGAACGGAAATAACCTCCAGAACATCCCCTCAGAGAGAGACTTGTGGTGGTTGGCGATCACCATAAGTTCGCCGGACTCTGCCACACTTCCGATTGTTTAGTTCATGAAATAAGATTTCAGTCTTGGGTGTGAGAAGCCAACTCCTAGATATATACACAAGTCTTCGGGTATAGATAGACTCCAAGAACTCAACGACTTCACTCGCTAATTAATGACATTCCAGGTGACTTCGAATGAAGTGGGAAGTAAGCGTTGGGAACAACTAGTTGGTCAAATATTAGTGGGCTAATCTCACTTTGTACCCCCGAAAAATACTTAAATTCTGAATTTGTACTATTACATATTAAAAATTTTAATTTATACCTTTAATGTTATAAATTAGTAATAACGTGGACTTTGCCCAAACAGTTATTCAATTTTCTATCATAAATTAAAACACATACTAATAGTCTAACATATACAATTCAAATAAGATGTTAATAGTATGCGAATTTATACATAATTCTATGGCCGAAGCATTTAAAACTCACGTGCTTCAATTTATGATAAAAAATTGAACGATAGTTTAGACAAAGTTTACATTACTATCAATTCATAACATTCAAAGTATAAATTAATATTTTTAATATTTAAGGATATAAATTAAAAATCGAAACATTTTTTAAGATACAAATGATATTAGCCAAAAAATTTAAGATTCTTATTTTATATTTTTAACAATTAAATTTTTTATATTGAATCCTTCATCTTAAATTGCCTAAAATATTTTTTTGAAGATATTATTTAATGAAAACACAAGGAAACAAAGATGTATTTTTGTGGTGTTAGAAAGTTATTATAAAATTTGTCAGATTAAAGATAAACAAAAACATGAATTCAAAGAATATGACAACTCATGGTTTAATATTAGGTATAAGTATAACTTATAGAATTTACAATATAAAATATGATTTATTTAATGATTGAATTAAGAACTTAATTAAAGAATCTAATTTATTATAATGATTGAATTGAAAATGAACCTTATTCAACATTAACATTCAATATTATTTTTTTTAATTTCACGATTAAAGATGTTTTGACTAATTTAGGCACTCATTAACTAATTTCTTTTCACGGTCAAAAATAAGTCATCGACACTAACACTAAATTATTCATTTAGATAAATCTCTGAGTCTGATCTCAAAAAGATGCTAAAATTCAAACTTAAGACATTTAAATTTATAATTCGTCTTTGTTATTACTTAAACTACCGTATAAAATTAAGATTCACTATTCATGTAATATCTACAATGATGATTAATTAAGTAAATTACTCTTTGCTTAAATAAATTGCCTTGTTGTGGCATTACTTGAGACAAAAACAATGTGCATTAATATGCAGTAACCAACGACCTTCTCGTGTTTAAAATTGATAATCGAACCGATCTACTCGAATTCAACTTGAGTTTAGTTTATTTGAACACTTTTTGGGCTCAATTCAGTCTTTAAACAAATCGAACTTAAATAATTTTTTAAACTCATGTAAAAAAAAAAAAAAAATCGACTCAAACTCACAAATCTCAACTCATTTATACATAAAATAATCAAATCAAATTACTATTTCAAAAATAAATCAAATTTAAACAATTATTTAAACCCGTTTAAAAATATGAGTTTGATAACCTCAGCTCGATTATCCACCCTACTCGTGCTCAAATTTAGAACCATCACGGGTTTCTGCCCTTTTTGTTATTGGAGCATATTTGCACCCCGATAGTAAAAAAAATAACATAAATATATCATCTTCATATTGTCATCAATCAAATGCTCTACTAAGATCTATAGCATTCATCATTTCCACCGGTTATAATCTGATCTTGCCTTGTCTCGGTTGCCAATAGATTTAAACCACAAGAAGATGGAAAGAAAAAATTTAAAAAAAAAACAGGTATTAATGAATTCAATATGATCTTGATTCTTGAAAGCTTGAGATCCAATACAAGTTAGAAGCTAATATATAATTAAAATCTGACAGTGTTTGGACCCCAACAACTTAATTCCATGACTTTCTTCAGGGACTGTTCCGTTTGATTCATCTTCTCCTCTCTCATCTTACCAGAGATCACTGAAGAGGACCGCATAGCAGAAACTCTGTGAGCCTTATAATAGGAAATGAGGTTGGTTTTGGCACGTTGTTGAACCGACCTAAGGGCATAGTTCCATCTGCAGAACCCTTGATCTTTCAGAGCCTCAACTGCAAAAATGCTTGTTGCTACAATCCAAGCTCCTCTTGTGGCACTCATATTTTCAAATAAGATTGATTCAGATCAGCTGAGCTAAGATTTAGAAGATTTTTATACGAGAGTTTTGTGTTTGGGCAGTGCTTTGAGGTATGCAGAAATCTGGGTTAGCTATATATAGGGGAGAAAGACAGAGAGAGAGAATCCAGAGTTTTACCTTGTGGACTAAAACCAGTGGCGGTTTAACCTGTAGAGTAGGAAACACCCATGGTTTTTGAGCATTAAATCTACCCGCTCAAGTCATTATCTGTGAATTTGACCCATGGTATTTGGGAAAACCGCCAGCGTATCTCATTTTGCGTGTCTATGGATTCAGAAACTGCGAGGAAAAAGGTAACAAAAAGAGGACTTCCTATCTGCCAATGTTACTTGGTCCAAATATTCTGACTTAGTACATTATTATTATCATTATTGAATTAATTTTAAGTTTTATGTTCCGTTTCGTAGGAAGAATAAAAAATACGAGGATATAAAATAGGAGGGATATACTTTCTATCCTTTAAGAATGAAAAATAAAAATAATACACTTTCTTTTTTTTGTGTTTGATTGAATGGATGAATAAAAAATAAAAATAATTAATTTTTTTTTGTGCTTGTTAAGATTAGGATTGATAATCGAGTCGTGTCGTGTCAGATTCATGTTGAGTTATAAAATTATGAGCATTTTATATTCTTTGTTAGCGTGTCAAGTCATTTTCAAATGCGTGTCAGGTCATTTTCAAGTTCGTGTCGAGTTATAATCAAGTTTGTGTCATAAAATTCGTGTCGAGTTCGAGTCGTGTCATCATGTTGAGTTAAAAATTTTCACCCTTAGTTAAGATGAAAAAAATATTTTTTTTTTTGATTTAAAATTTTGATTTTTTTATTTAAAAAAAATAAAATATATATTATCATTATATTTTTATATGAAATTAATGTATACATAATATATATAGACAAATAATATACATCTCAACACAAATAATTAACTTTCATTCACTTTCCTTCCGATTTTGGATGGATTAATTTTGGTGAGTTGGAAGGAAAGCTAATTCATCTACTTTTCTATTCTTCCTACTTTTCTTCCTTATTAAACATGATGTTTTAATCTCTCAAATTTTTATCCTTCCAATTTTTTATCTTTTTATTTTTTCATTGTACCAAACGGAGCATTAGTATTTGACGATGCCCTTATCATTTGAAATATAACTGTATTCTGAGACGAAAGTAAGATTTTATTCCAAGAGAGGTCAAAATGATGGTATAGACAAAAAAGTCCAATGGAAATATTCAATGATTATAATTTACGATAAATTTTAATTTATAAAAAATATATTAAAATTAACTTTATATATTATGGCACCGTAAAAATTATTTTGGGTCATAAAACCCAAAAATTGGTTCATACCATATAAAGATTAAATTAATAATATTTTAACATAATTTGCTATTCAAATTATTATATGTCATTAGATTGATAGTGACTCAATTATTAGTTGTTTCTGCTATTAATTCAGTGACTATAATATATTAAATCAAGCATTTTCTTCAAATTAGTATGTGACAATATCACCGTCTTTTTTTTTTCTTATTTATAATATAATTTTATAATTATAAATAAATTATCATCGTAAATTATAATTTCACATGATATTATAATAAAATAAATCATGACATACATTGATTTTGAGATAATCCACTTTGGTAACTCAATTTTAAAAATTTTACTTGTTTTTTCCCCATAGTTATCAAAATCATCCAAACAAGTGTTTCTTCAAGTAAGAGCAACACTCATTAAATATCAAGTCATTATTTAATATTTATACATTGAGTTTTTTTTTTGATAGAATACATTGAGTTTTTTGAAAATCTAAAAGGTTGCAGTAGAACTTTCTACAAATATATGCGGGTCAATGGAGACTTTTCAAAATGTGAGGGAGTCCATGGTCCTGCTAAGCTTATACATAGGTCCCTCTCTAAGTATATTATATCAATAAATTATATTAAATTAAGTCATAATAACATTACTGACGTAAATTTCTGCCCGTATATTATGATAGATCAAACATGAGTGTCAAATAAACTCATAATAAGCGGATCCCACGTCGATTGAATTTGAATATTCTGTCAAATTAATGTATTCACTAATGAGAAAGAACTTGATCACAAACCTATGTTGTGCTTGCCTGTATATAAAGGTGTTCAAAATTTTGATTATTCACAAATTTCAACCATATGTTATCCTGCCCGACGAAAGAATCAAGTAGGCCAATAGAAGATCTTTTACTATTTTGCAAAAAATTAGATAGAAATGCAAAATATCTACAAAATTTTCGTATTTTTACCCTACCTTACCATATATGTTAATCCTTAAAAATTAAAATCTAAAAATCTAGAAACCCTAATATTTTATTGATGTTTATGACTTTTTTATATATAATGTATTGATGTTTACGATTTTCTTGTTGTAATTATTTATATATTATCAAATTTATTGTGTTTTCTTTAGTATTATTGGTTTATTTTGTTAGTTAATTAATGTCTGTTACTTAATTAAATTGTTAAATAATTTAAAAAATAATAATTAAAAAATATGTGTTCACCCAATTTTCCACCTAACTTTCTACCTTGATTGTTTTAGATTGAATTCAGATAAGAATAGTATACTTGATTGGGTAGGATAGGTAAAGAAAAAAAAAATTATATCAAATAAGAAGATAAAATACTATAATTTCTACCTACTTGTAGGATAGGATAAACATCCTATCTATATGTTTCCTTCGTGTTGGGAGTTGGATTCTCTCTAACAACTTTTATCTATCAACCGTTAAATTCACCAAAAAAATTTCTTAGTGGTAGAAGAAGTCCCTTATATGGATAGAAATCAATCCCTGTAAGCTTACGTGAGAGTTAATACTTTGCAAATTAACAGATTTATCCGTAATTTGGAAACAAATAAAAGGATATTTAAGTATTGGTTACAAATTGCAACTAAATGTTGCTTGCATGTAAAAGCAAGTTCAAAGTTGCGTTGGATTCGAGTCTAGGTTACCGGGTTTGAATGAATTGACAACAAGACACGAGATCGATCATACACAAGATACACACCCAACACAGACATCAGGCTAAATATAAAACAGATATCAAGAAGGGGACCAAAGAATTTGGTTGCTTTAAAAAAAATAAGTAAGAATGATACTGAGGTTTGCATCTATAGACAAAGAATCACAGTCTCACAGACTTTTAACTCTTAGTCAGACGTTAAAAGTGTTTGGCAGGAAGATAGCACATCGTCACGGCATTTCAACTATCACAGCAACTACAAAACTATAGTGGAATCTCAGTTGCTGCCACTAACGCAGCTGTGTTCGGTGATTTGAAATTTTGAAGGCTACTGAGATAAGGAAAAGAAAAAAGGAGAATGGGTTAAGACTGGTGCTAGCAGATGAACTTAACGCGACGTCCCGGATCAAGCTTGGGCAAAAAACTGTACACAAACTGATGTCAACAACCTAAGTACTTGAAGAGTTATCCTGAACCTCACGATTAGGAACTCAGTCCGAGCTATGCAGCAGAACCTGCATGGGCTAACTAAGTTTAGCTATATCGAACTCCGCTGGTAACCGGAAAGTGTCAGCCGCACCTAACTTTCTTGTCTCTTCCCTGTCTTCTACAGATTCTTCTTCCTTACTTTCATATTCATCGTCCTCGTGAATCCATGGTGACAAAGGTGCATGCACACTCTTTGATCGGCAGGTTAGGTTGGCAAGCATGCTGACTTGGCTGAATTGAGAGATTTCAATGACAACAGTGTCATCATCTTCGGGGAGGGGTTGTTTCCATGGCTCTCCATCAATCCTCATGAATGTATGGTCAGCTGCACCCTTGCAAAACTCGAAACGAATTCCTTTGGCCTATATGCAAAATGCAAAATGCAAAATGCAAAATAGCTATCAGTGACAAGAAAGGCATTATCTCATATCCATAGTGTGTATTTGTCTAGAGGGTCCTGAGAGGATAAGAGATTCTTATAACCAAAAGCCAAAAATTTGGTTGAAATTCCAATTGCATCACAAAATAATGAATATATTTTGAGTCTCATATTGCAAACTAAACAGATTTTGACACCTCGTATTAGCATTGTCTTCCCCCTTGAAAAATTAAGTGTTATGTAAAGGCTAAAAAGTAGTCACTATCCAACAGATCTTTTGAGCGCATGTAGAGGGCAATTTACTAAATGCTTAGAAGGAAATTTTATGAAGGGAACTTGACTCATGGCTGAGGCGTTTGCAACTTTCCGATTCAAAACCCACCAAAAAAACATCAATTTTTTTGTGTATCCTTTAGGGATATTCTATTTTTGCTCGCACGTTCAATTCCAAGGCAGCGAGACTTCAACCTGTCATATTAGACAACAACTTTAAGCCCCATATCAGCTGCCAATATGATTTTTGTGACATATTGTTTTTTATCGTTTTAGTCCACTGTTAATTATTCCCCCTCGATGGTTCACAAAGTGCTATGTATAAATGCAAATACACAGAAAGGCTATTTATAGAAGCTCTCCTCTAAAGGAGTTTTTACCAAAGATGCATTTCCGCTCACGCTTCTGCTTTTGCTTAGTGCTCTAGTTTAGTCTCAAACATGTTTTTAAAACCCCTTGCAGGATATAACTAGCATAAAGCATAAGGCTAAGAGACTCAAAATTCAAGAATAAGGGTTTTATGTGTAAGTAGGCATCCAAACTTTTTTTTAATCAACGATAGCAACTTCTAATGTTCAAGCCAAATAATAGGGAAATGCTCATAACAACTTTTGATATACACCATTCCGGATTCAACAATGAATACCTAATAGTTGATGCCATGAATTCCATCAACTCATTTGAAGAAAATTTTCTTGCAGTAAATCTTCTTTCAGAGCAATTGGCAATTGGCACTTGGCAGGAAAGCATTGTTATTATTGTATTAAGATGACCAGCATACAGCTAAGTAGTCAGCACAGCAATTATTGCAACTTCCATAGAGGAAACGTTTGTCCATTCCAACATTTTCTAAGCCATCAACTTTTCATAAAGGAGTACATAAGAAATGGCCTTTTCAGCATTTGAGGTGCATTGCAATTACCCTTTTTTGTGTTATGATACTGTAACCATTATATGTGACCATATTGCACTAGTGCAAGTGCCCTTTATGCACCCTAATGCATTAGGACCAATGTCAGTTTCTCATAATCTAGTTTATGGCCTACCTGTGCAAGGCGAGTCCCATGCCCATGTGGAGAGAACAAAACAAGCCCATGCCATGCATCTCGAAAACCAACAATCTCAAGAAGGCCATCGTCAACATATGGAGGTGTCAAGTCCCTCTGTTGAAAAAAAGCTCAAATAATCTCCAAGAAGTTCTAGTTTAAACCATGCCATTGGTGAAAGATTGAGAAACTCTATATTGAGTTTGTCTTATGAATGCAGATGCTAAGAAACAAATCAAAACTAACCGAATGAAGTTTCTTCTTATTAGGCGTCCCCCAAGGATTGAGTCCACCAGAAAAACTGGGCAAGCTGAGGCAAACAATAGACCTGATGCTGCAGATCAAATGGCAAGCTAATTTGGTAAGAGCAGCCATCAATTTTTTTCACATAATCAAGAATTATCATCATTGTCCAAAGAAACGGATGAATAGCAAACCAAAACGAAAACTAAAACATAATGGATAAAGTAAAACGGGAACAGCCCTGGTCAGAGGGCTAGTACTGTTGCACGTTACTGCATTAGTGCCCTAAGCTTCTAAGAATCTACTTTCCACCAACATAAGAGAATAGGATAGCACATTACATTTTCTGCAGTTGTTTCTTTTAAATAAGGAGCAAATGTTTTTCTTTTGAGTATTGATATTATTGTTGATCAAAAAAAAAAAAAGTATTGATATTATTGAATACTACAATGTGCTTTTAAAGTCAACTTCTGGCCTTTTCTGCCCAGTCTTTCCATAATTTTTCTCCTAAGAAAAAATCCACTACTAGTTATGTATGTTGCTTGCTCAGGTCACTGCTGCGAACATTCTGATGTCTTTTAGCATAAGTGACTCTTGTGTAACACTTGCAAGTCAAAATATGATCCTCTCTTTTCAGTTTTGAGAAACCATGCTTGAATTATAGGGATGCTATCAAAATGTCAGAAATTCCATATCATCACTTGCAATTTGAAGTCCAAACTTAGGGTTCACACTATTGGCCCCAACCTAAACGTAGCAAAAAAAAAATGCAAAAATGAGGAAATGCCTTACCATAGCCCTCTAACCTCTGTATCATGGGATTTCTACATGTATTCCTGAATTACTGGCATTGTGAAAAGTGCATTACTTCCAAGATTATGTGTGTGTTTGTCTATATGGATATATATGACGTCATGGGATGGGGAGGGGATTTTAATTCTTAACCGACTCCCCAAGGGGAATGCATATGTAAGCTTATACATGGATGTTCAGACAAACTATCTGATCAAGGGCAGGACCTCAGCATATCTTTTACAAATTTGGGGAGGAAGTGGGAAAGACGCAGGTAATTCTTAAGTGTACATAAAGGTCTCAAAAGAGCACTATGAAGGTATTCTAGAAAAAGAAAGTAGTTGCAAAAAGACAAAAAAGCCTCCAATATGAGATCAAAATAAGCATGGTTAACAAAATAAAGTGAAATAGATTTTGATCTCACCTGCGAGATATATGAAGTTCTTCCCACTGGCCTGGTCTCTTCATTATCCTAACCTTTGCAAGTTGTGCTATATTCCTGTCAAAACACCAACCCATTCTCAACAAAACATTGACACAAAATAGTAAACAGCAAGTAGAAAATCAAACAACTATATACATCACAGCCTTTAAGATCTCGGAAGGTTACAGCCTTCAAGATCGTCTCATTCGGAACGATTAAGTTGTCATATACATACACTTGGTGGTGATGTTTGTAAAGAAATCATCTATTTTTTTTCCTTTTGGGTCTGAAAGAAATACATGTAAAAGGTAACTGGTGTTTTTTAAGTCACTCATTCCCCCCAACCCCTCAAAGACATTTTAATAGATGAACCAAGATGTATGCAGACCCCGGTAGGTCTGGCACCAATGCTGTGTTTTAATTTCAATTGTTTTCTGCTTCCCAGAAGGGTCATATTGAAATTTTTAAGATGACAGGTTACAGGTATATCATGACCAGACCTGACATAGAGCACTCTGAAAACTAGTTTCATGGTAAGAAGGCAAATTAAAGTGAAATGTGGGAATATGCTTCAGTAACAATTTTGACACGAGGAACTATGGTGTAGCAAATGCCCGCGCTATCATGAAAAAACAACACAATGTTCAATAATTTGGTTGGAATAGAGATGCGGATATGATGCATGAACAATGTGGCAGACTGCCCTTATGGAACTTCTCTTAAAGCGAAATAATATGTTGCGAGCAGAAACTTCCAGTGAAAGTTCTTAATTCCAATTAATTGCTGAATTGAGTAATTCTAATATCATCTGTATGGCGTGCATTATCAACACACTAACGCACCTACATTCTGCTTAGGCAAAAGACACCAACAAGTTGGCAAAAGATTCAACATCCGAAGCCCAATTCCAACTCTGCCCTCGTGGCTCGTACAGATGCTTCAGTACGATCTTCATAAAAACTGAATCATACAGGGACCATTTGCTTTGTGCAATGGTAAAAGCAAAACCTATTAAGCTACCTAACATGGCAATGTGGGTTTTAAGTTTGAGATCAGTAATTTTTGCAATATAATGCCAAAGGTTCAACTCGTAACCAATGCACTTATCCTAGCACCTAGAAGCAGCATAGTCTTTATATACAACATACTGAACAGCGCGCGGAGGAAACTATGTATTGAGGCTTCATAGTGATTTGAGTTCCTATCTTAGCATACAAGAAAATTATCTACCAAGGTGCCACTGTTTCTCCACTAAACAAGTAACAGTCCTAGCATCTTGGTCCAGGTGTGGTAAAGAGTGTGATAACAAGAAAAAAATGGAAACAGAACACATTTTGGACAGATTTCAATGAATTTTAGCACGAAATTTCATATTAATATATGCCATTCCTAAGTTAAAAAGCCGCTATTTGTTGGATGATCCATTAGTCTCAATTTTTGGGCAGGACTACATTGGAACTTATAGGGAATCGTTAGTGATCTTAAATAGAAGGTCTAGCTAAAGTTTCTTGTGTTTTATTCCAAGTAATTTTTTTTTAAAGAGGTCAAAAATCCACAATTTTTATCGTCAGCTTCAATTCAATTGAGAAGAGTTAAGGAAGTTTGCGGTTTTGTTTGTTGCGAAGGTCAAGTGCAAAATTCAGATTCCTGGAACTTTTCTTCTCCTTGCTTTTTCTGAAAGTTTCTCTTCTCCTATTTACTATTCATAGTTGGTATTCAGACCCACAAAAAGCCCTAATTTTCAGCTCTAAACTCAAACCTAACTAGCCCAAATAATCATCCCTAGTCTTGGCTTTTACTTTTAAAACAAAAACTCAAGATACTTGCTATTCAGAAAATTCCAGTGACCTTTTTCTAAATTTCCTGCAGTCTTGTCAATTTTGTACCCCAAGCCAATTCCACTTTTGTTCTAATCAGCAAAACCATCCACATTCCTATTACCCTTTTAACCCATTATCCACTACAAATCTCATATGCAGCATTATTCGATATTTTAAATCTGTCTTACATCAACCAGTACCACTGAACAATAAATCGAGGCAACAGAAGAGTTTTAAATCCCACCCAATTATAAGCCATATATTTCAAGGCTCTTTATCAGGAAATGTGATAAAGTCAGCCAGAACATTAATTGAAGTAATTGGCACTATCCATATTAAATTAACCATCAACCAAACAATTGTATAGTTCCATTACAGGAATAACAACACAAAGTAAGACAAACAACAAGAGTCTTATTATAAAAATCAAAATTGAGTCCAAAAACTTTCCACTATGACAATGTGAAATTGTTGCTTCATGACTGTTATATTTTATGAGAGATCATGCAATTATATTCAAAAGCTATATCAAACTAATTTTGATGTTAGCCACACAGTTAAGGCATGTTAAATCATTACAAAAACAAACCACATTTTCATTTGGCATGAAACCAAAACCTCTATCTGCATATTTACCGTGAGTAAGGATGAATGAGAGAAGCACAAAACCATCCTTGTGTACACACAAGCTTTGCGTAAGTACTCTGATCAGATTAAAAAAAAAAAGACAACAACAAACATAGTTGATTTACTTAAATATTTGATAAAGCATAAAGGCAAGTTATTCTCAGCACATCAAGAAAAAAAAGGAAGAAGGAAAAATTCACCGGCCTGTAACAAACAGGTCCAGCATAAATGAAAAAAATGTTATATTAAATTCTGGAAACAAACCCATAATTCAGTAGAATAATGAAATTTTAACTCCTTAGACATCGTATAATATTGTATAATGATGAAACATGAACTGCAGATATAAGAGAACACTTCATCAGAGATTATAAAAGAAAAGTTGTTATAACCCCATCAACAAAGATGGATGATAGGAGGATTTTGTTAATCAAGTATGATGCCAAGGTATCCAATATTCAGTTATGAATATGGGAATCATGCGTTACGAATATAGTTCTACAAAATTTTAAATCTATACAGACACTTCACTGCAAGGATCTTTTTGGTCTCACCCCTGAAGTGTCGAATTTTGTTTCAAATAGTAACTCAGCATAACAATGTTCAAGCTCTGGAGAATCAACATGTCTTGCAATCATAACATTGACTAAGCGAGACAAAATCTATCAAATAAAGATCAATTAAGATGGTTAACTGGATAGCTTCATTAACAAAGGAATAAGGATGAGCATCTGATATTCACTAGGAAGAATGGCAATGTTAGTACTGAATACACATTATTGTCTAATTCGCACTATAAGTGAAGTGACACCAACGCATGTAGCGCCCATTACCTCCAGATATAGTGAAACATACAATTGCACTTCTTTAATCAGGACACAATAATTGTAATGCACCAGACGTGGATTCTTGCATATGCTGTTTGCGAAGAGCTAAGAAGCACGGACACGATAAGACACGGAACGCCGCCATGAAATTTTTCAAAAAAGTAGAACACATACACGTTAAATATTATGTATATATATATATATACACACATACCCATACACATATAATCACGTGATAAAATAAATATACTTTCATACTAATTTTGCAATTCACCCTTTACCTAATTTTAAAAATCAAATCATTACATCACCGCATAAAAAATACAATATAAGATATACTGATGACATCCATGGTCCAACAATCAATGAATACTACAAATTCTATTTTCAAAAATATTTCAATTCATAACACATTTTTTATCAATTTCAAAGAGCCCCAATTTTGTAACCTCATTTTCCATCATATTACTTTCATATTAAAAGTTTATTCCACAATGGATGACTTACAACTCGATATATCATACTACATAATAGAGATCTTGATATTTGTGTCTAAAATTATGCTATAGCCATGTCCTATGTTCATGTAGTGATTATAACTATTTATATTATGACTTTGACCCATATTTCTTTAAAATTACAACAATAACTTCCTTAATTATGAAGTCATTTGTAAGATACAACTGAATTTTTTGAGGTAAATAGCAAATTAGTCATAACCTCTTCGAAGTTATAATCATATGGTCAAATGGTAATATTTTGTGACAAGTGATGTCCAGGATATTTGTTCAAATCATAAGGATTTTATTGTACACAAATAAAACACAAGACAAAATCCATAAAGCGATTGTATGCAAAATTTAGGCCATGCTTCCAAACAGAGCAGACAAAAAAAGAAACCTGATTGACTAATTGATTCTTAAATTTTTCTGGATGCAGCTTCCTCTCGGTGTGAAATGCATATGAAACTTGGGCATCCATTCCTGAACAGAGGAGAAAACAGACAAACTACCATAAAACACACTGTAAAGACAATGATTGGATATCATAGTACACCTACAGGCATATTTCTCTTAAACATATTGTGGGAAAATATAGTTTAATTCAATGTAGGTATCATCACTTTTGCAATGAAAATCAGAAAGATACATTGATATTTTTCTTTGCCTTTTTCTTCCCAAGTTGAAAACAAATAAACCCTTCACAACACAGATCGGCCAATTTTCAAAGTAAAAATGATCAGCTTGCAACTTGTCTATAGGTAAGGACCCTAAGGCTCCTCATTACAGCCTTAAAGTTAGAGGGCATTATTTTTGAGACATATATACCACAAATAAAAGTTATATTTAGATGAGTCTCTATGTCCAAAATTAGGCTTAGACTCTATGAAAATTAACATTCGTGTATGTACTACATAATTGAACCATTTGCCCACAATCTAAATTTTCTTGAGTTTCTGGCATCTGTTTGTTAAGACACAAATTTGCAGAATGACTTGCAGACCACACAGTAATTTTTTTCTGTATTAGTTGCATGATGTCTTCCAACTCCGCTGACACTGATAAAACACATATAAATTACATTGTTTGAATGAGAAAAAAAAAATTCTTTCTGGCCAGAATCATGATCTGTACTATTCAATAGCAAAAAGTTATGGTTAGTTATCAGACCTTTCATTTATACAAGAAACTTAAAACAAAATTAAAATCTACACTTCACCCTCTATTGGCAACTGAATGGCTTGTCCATCTCCATAAAATAGAGGATACATTTTGGAGGACTTATTTTTATATTTATGTCTTTCCCTACTGTCATGCTTTTAGTTTATGTACATCTGAGCTGAACAAATCGCAGTAGCTGCAGATTCTTCTGAAGCCTTCTCATACAAGAAGAAAAATTATGAGAATATTGACTAAATGGTTCAATCGAAATCATCTTACCCATGCTGAAGTAGTTCCAAAATCCCCCACGAAATGTGTGGTAACCCTCCTGAGAACAGGCAAAATGTAAGTTATGCACACTCACGTAAGAAGAAACCATATGTTAAGAGGGAAATCAAACAAGAAGAAAATAAAATGATTTAATTCCTCTCAGAATTGAACGTCAGATAAGTTTTAGCTGCTGGTGGACATAAAAATGTCAAGGAGGGAATGGACGTAACATATTTAGATCAAATGTTACGATTTTCAGTTCTGCAACATGAGGTTTTAGTGATGCTCTAATTGAAGGTAAATCAAATTTTAAGTTTTTATAGAAATTGGAATGTCAGTTTAGTTAGTAGACATTTCCCTTTTTCAACTTTTTTGGAAAGTACAATAGCCATTTTGTTTCCATACATCTGTAAGCACTTTGTGAGTTGTAAATCTTGAGTATTACTGCAGCCTAAAGGGCGAACAAAGCAGGTTTCCCGTAATCTGAAAGCCACAGATGTATAAACTGTAGCTTCCTTTTTCAGATTAGTATAGATATTGAAGCTAGCTGATATGAGGCAGCAACAATAGACATAAATATGAGAAACAAGAGAAAGAAATAAAAGCAGAAAGGGTATTACCTTGTTCAATGTGTCTGTTTGGGACACACGGTGAAAGGCATGCAAAGAATGTGGCAGTTCAAGAGGTGCAATAGGATCACAAGAACCTTCTTTTGGAGCCCTCATTCGCATAATAATATGCCAGCTGAAACACAATAAATGTCAGAGTTGTGATACTGTAAAAATATGATATGAACAAAATATGAGATGTGCTCTACTCCGATTGCATAGCAATTGAGTTATCTACAAACCAATGCAACAAGAGGTAAAGGTCAATAGTATAAAAATATGATTTCAACAGATAGAAATGGCTTCCTACTAGATTGACATTGAACAAAACTACAACGCAATTCAAAGTGATATAAATTTTCAGTCATGAAATGGTGTTCGTCCAATATGACCCATAATAAATATCAGACACAAATTTTCAGACTTACATAATTAAAATTGGTAGATCTGAGTGACATATTAAGGTAAATCCCTTAAAGTCTATAATCAGGAAAGCAAGGGATGTGAGGTAATGAAGTACATGACAAAAAATACCAAAATATGACATTTCTTATAGAAAATCCTGATTTTTTCCAATCTTGGAATAGAATTTATGGCTATCCATTTTTTGAGCACCATTTGACAGGAAATTGGGAATATCACTACCTTGACTTGTCAAGTCACCAATTTTTGGTAAATTGTTAACATGTTTACCAACTTTTTGGTAAATTGTTAATATGTGCTTCTTCACATCATTCCTCTTCAGATAGGATATTAGTTAAGTCTACACATGACCTTTTCAGTTTTCCCGATTACAGCATTGGTTCATAATTTCGGCTCCATAAGAGCTCTAGAGTAGGAAAAGTCCAAATTAAAAGGCATAAGGTAGTAAAAGAATCCCAAGCCCTCTTACAGCAATGTACACATTTTAGCATCCATAAGAGCAGGAAAAAGGCCACGTTAACATGGACTAAGGTAGTGAAGAGTGAATAGAATATGGAGTTGCAGATGACAATACCTTGCTAACAAACTGGAAAGTGCATTTTTCCAGTTACAGAACCTAAAACAATGCCCAACAACCAAGGCAACCCATGTAATTCATGTGTTGACCCTAGAAAACAAAATATGTGATTCCCATGTGAACTTGGAATGTTTTTCCAGACTGCAAAGGGTAATGCATTTCCACATACTTCCATCTTCACTTCATCATTTTAGGAATCTATGAATACCAAATTTATCATAGTGTACACTCATTATAAGTAGGCATGCCATGAGTGCTTATTCTAATCTATACACATTGAATTCCAATTAACATATACAAAACATCTGGCATACATGTAATCTGGACATATACTGTGTTGTTAAGTCATCATGGAACCAAAAGAATGTATTACCTGTCAATTTTCATCTCTTCCGCATTCCGTACTTGACCCAAGAATGCCTTCACAGATTGTCGGTCTGTGCCAGGATTTTTCTTTCCCTGTGAATCACTAATATGAATGTTATCCATTCTCATTGTGAGTTCAGCAAACACGTCTGGTACTAACCGAATATCTATGAAAAAGCTTGGTGTTCCAATACGGGCCCCCATTCCGTATGTAAAGGAAAAATTAATAAATTCAAAGCAACTCTAGAATAGCATAGTTTCAACATACAAGAGATTTGAATTATCTATTAGTTCATAAAAATACAAGTGATTTGACATGAATGTCAAGTGCCTTAATGAGGGGTGGAACCATTTATTTACTTGAGGAGGGACAATTGGTTAGTGAACTTCTTTATCTATTCCATCAAATTTAAATGTTTTTGTATTTTTTTTTCAAACAAATTGCATGGCAGATATTTTCCCAAGACCAATCTAATTTATTGTTCACTAAATACAGGGAGGATCAAAGAGAGAATGAGGACAATAGATGTCAGGGAGAAGAACAAGAAGAGATTGTTTCCAAAACCTTACCCAACCAAATGAAAATGGGAGATTGTTTCCAGTTCCTAATGGTACTGTAGCAACTGGCGGTGGATAAGATAGTTTAAGATCAGAAACTACACCAAGAAGCCAGCTTGCTGTTCCATCTCCACCAGCAACCTAGCAAACCAGATATGGATTAGATGTAAATGACAAGATAACATCATTAGCACACAATTGAACTACTGAGTTAACTCACTATGATTCTCAATCTCCTCTGAATTTCATAGGACAAGCTATCCCCAGTTTGCTTGTGCTTTTCCAAATTATAATAAAGTTGATATAGCACCTTCTCAGGAGCTTTTTCTCCCAAATCAAATACCTAAAGAATCAAGCAACCAAAGATTGAACCCATGAAGAAGCAAGTGCATTCATTCTTAAAACTGACTATCCAAAAATCATAAAAATAAAAAATAAAAAACAGCTATGACTGTGCAATATGGGAAAAACCTGGTTTTTATTAAGAAGAGCACGATATGTTATGAGAAGTTCTCCTCCCAGCTGGCCACCACTTTTGGAATTGATGAATACTATCACCGGACAAGCGGGCACATGGGACTCTTGTCTTGATGCAGATTCAGGTAGAAGTATGTAATCAGGAATGTAGTAGTCCTTCAAAATGTTATCAGATTCTGAATCACAAACCGCTACTTCCTGACTGCAAAATTATGTCAAACACGAGCATTAAGTTTGGAAATTTCACTACCTATAGTAGAATGCTAAACACATGCCACCCAATTAAGTGGCAGGACTACCAGTTATTTCCATTGCATGATAATAGTAGCATTATGTATTTCATAGCACATAGAGATGCTTCTCATACAAATTTTAAGTACAATTTTTCAGGTGGAAAAATAAATCGAAGTAATTACATGCTCAAGGATAGACAAACTTAGAGTGATACCTGAATCTTTAATTTCAGTCAAGTCATAGAACAAAATAATTGTCAAACCAACGTCTCAAAAAATTCATTCTAAATTGATCACACTGAAATATTGAGTCCTCATTCTAAATTCATTCTACGTTTCTAACGTGTGTATCAAAATATATATATAAAAAGCATGCAAGTCCAACTCATATGATCAAGAATTTATTGATCAAAAAAGTTTTTCAGATTCCCACCTTCTAGTGAAAAAATTCCGAAAGGAATGCTTTAGATCCTTGGCCTGGAACTTGACCATGTTTTCCAACCCCACTGCCAATCTGCCCATGAAATTCATAGAAAGATTCGATAACTTGCCAAGAAACTCCATAATTTCCTTAGTTCCGACAAATCAGAGAGAGTGAGAGAGAGGAGAGAGAGAGATTCTTTACTTGGCCAAGACTTCAAAGGAACTTAAAAATGCAGAATCGAAAGCAAACAGTACTTCTAAGGAACTCAAGAATCCAGACAGTTGATTCTTTACCTGCACAAATTAGTTAAAAAAATTATACATATACTCAAAACAATGCAGACATTAAAGCAACCGTAGCTTCAAAGAGATCAAGAATCAACGAATACAAACACGCACAAACGCATAAACACACGAGCGCACACTTATATATACGGTACCGATTCAAATGATATTCGATTAGAGAGAGAGAGAGAGAGTTTATCGGCAAGCTCAATCGATTCTATTCTCCAGGGCGAAACTGAAAGATCTAAATTGGCTTGCTCGTGAAGATAGGTCCATAAATAGAGGAGATTGTTGAGGAGTAAACGCGTTTTTGCAGACGCAGGGCATGAGGTGAGAAAGTGAAGGGAAAATACAATGCTGAGTTTTTGTGTTGTTTTGAGAGAGAGAGAGAGAGAGAGAGAGGGAGGCGGGGTTTTAGCTGAGCGCGGATTCAGTTTTTATTCTTCAACGGACGAGAGATTTGAAGATTACCGATTTATTATTTGTAACATTATTCAATAATAAATTAATTCGAAAATGAGTAAACCTTACCAACTACTCTGCCTGTACCTGAAAAATTAATTTTATTATTAAAAAATAATTTAGCGTCACTGTTACATCTAATGTCAGAACTATGGATCAAGGTGAAAATCGGTATGAGTTAACCAATCAAAATGTATAACGAAATGACCAGATTTAACTCGATCGCAATCACAACTCAATCAAATCCGCCAATTAAATGGAATGCTATAAAATTAATTAAAAAAAAAGGTATGATAATGTATGCATCAAAAAAAGATATAAAGCAATGAATGCAAGTTAGGTGTTTGAAAAACTAACAATTAATTCTATGATTGTATTAAATTAAGTCTCTAAATTAGGCTTTCATAGCATTTTGGAGGCGGTAAGTTAGGTGTTTCATAGCATTTTGATTGAGATTCTCTCTCTCTCTCTCTCTCTCTCACACACACACATATGCATCTATCTCATGCGATGCATGAAATTTATAATTTATGTATACCCCTAAGCCTGTCTAACCCTAATTTTTCTCAATAATTACCTGTTAGAATAATAATTTTTTTAAAAATTAAAATAGTTTAAAAAGATCATTTTAAGTTAAAATTTAAAATAGTTTTAAAAAATATTGGAAGTTGTTACATAAGACACATAAAACAATATGATTTGATGAAGCTAATTAAATATTTTAAAATCCTAATAATTAAATATTTGAGGACGAAAGTCATCTCATCTCGAGACATCTCTTCTCTAAGTTGATTGTTTTATACATATAAATAATTTTTATTTTTTTTTCTTAACAAATTATTTATCATACATTTTAAGTGAGACTCAATATACATAAATGGGTCTCTCACTTATTAATAATGAGTAATTTAATGAATAAAAAATAAAAATAAAAATATATATTACATCTGGATCCGAAATATTTGGTCAGTCCTCTCGGAAGATCAGTTTGCACTGAGCCTGCAGAGTTGTGGAGAGTAGCCAGAAATTGGGTGTGTAAGCAATTTTCAATTTGACTTTTGATTATAACAAGTCAAATTGCTGATATTAATAATTTCTTTTTTTATTTATCAAAGGGAGAGGGAGAAAGATGAGACAATATAGACCATTATAGAATTTTTTTCATCCACGTCAGGTTCCTATCCGAGACATGCTTTTTTTTATTTTTTTTTTTTCAATTCACTTTTTTCTCTCATGGGTAATATTTCACTAATTATTTTTTACAAAATTTAAAATGACGATTTCCGGATATAAAATTTACTAAATTGATATAATCCTAAATACCCTAGAAAGAGAAGTTGGTCGTGGAGCATCGTTGCTCTTTTTTAAAGTCAATTATGTAGATTTACTTTTCAACGTATTGTGTTTTTTAACCTATATTTATTTTTCCTTTTTTTTTTTTGACTTTAGCTCGTACTTTCATCTAGACAACCATAGATTATTATTATAAAATAAAGAAAAAATTACATTTAACATATATTAAAATTTATCACTAAATCACTTAGATTTCTTAACATTTCAAATATTATATATAGACCCATTGATATTCGTACGCGCTTAACACTTAAACTCCTACCGTTAATGTTCATTAGTATATCTATTAATAAATTACACCAAAATCTCATGAAAGTTGTAAGTGCGTAATATTTAAACCTCTCAAGTTTAAAATATTATACTTAGACCACTTATTAGTTATGGAAAAAACATAATTTATTAAACAACAAAATTATCACAATTAAAGATATAAGATATTGTGATCATTACAATTTGACATCTTATTTATATTTTTTGCTTGATTCCAATAAACAGTATAATTTTATAAAAATGAGTGTTGAATTGAATTTTTTGATATATTTATATTAGTTACTATTTTTTTCTCAAAAATTAAGTTTTTATTAATTTTTTTCTCAGTAGATGATATAATAGAATATGCAAATGTGTCGATTAGGATTATTTCATATGTTGGTACTTGATAATTGAAAAATTGACCCGAGGTAAAAAATCCATTTAGTTCAAGTCCAAACTGATGCAGAGGTGATCTAAGTTTTGGTTTCAACAATATTAATTATAATTTTTGTAAGAAAAATTGAATTTTTATTTTTGATTTTATTTTAATAAATGACATAATAAATTATAAATTTTGGTTGTAAAATTTAAAATATTTGATATATTATATTTAACCTGAATATTTAATTTAAGTATTTTTGATATAAATATAATATTTTAAACTTGAGGGGTGTAAGTATTACATATTTTAAATTTTATATAATTTACTAACGAACACCAAATCCCATGAAACTTGATTGACATGCTGTTGTAAAATGTCTGGAAGCAATTTGTTTGATATGCATTACAAAGAGGCTTTGGCCGAACTTTAAACAAGTCAGAAATTGAACGAAGATGCTGTGTTCCACGAAAGAGATGTTGATGGGGTTAGGTAAGGAATAGAAGGATAATGCAATTATTTTGAGTTTTTTTTTTTTTTTTTTGGACGTAAGTCCGCTATGTTACTTTTTTTTTTTTTTTTTGCAGATTAGTGATGTTATCAAGGAAAAAAGGGTGTACTTTCAATGCATCAACAACGGTACAACATCCATACCTATCAGGGACAACACTACATCACCGTCCATCATATGTAAGCACAACCCATCCAACACTTAACGACAGAATCCCAGGGCCATCACAATCCCAGCCAGCCATTGGAACCTAGTCCTCTTATCAGTGCCAGTGACGCAAACTAATCCGATGGTATGATGTGATTCTTATTTTTATGTTTCAACAATTAGCATGATCAACTTTAGGTGATTAATTACTTCATAGGTCATGCAACGCGCCACTCATCTACGTCGATTAGGCGTGGTCGGGGACCACCTGTAGGTGATAGGTTATGGGGTACTGGAAGGATAATGCAATTGGAATTTAATGATAGCATGCATGTATTTGGCCCAATACCTGGCCCATTTTTGTCGGAGCTTGGCATACCCGCAGATAGGATTGACTGGATTTGGAGAGAAGTACAGGTATACTATGTTTATTCATGCGTCATTATTTTTTATAGAACCGTTTCTTAATTTGGGTTTTGGAATTGTAATTGTAGGAAAACACTAATGCCCTAGATAGTTTCAAAGAAGTATGCATTGAGATGGCTGACAACATTTGGAGGATTGGAAGACTAAGCTTAAGAGAAGATATTATAATAGTCAAGCTACAGATGAAGAGAACAAGTCAAAATTCCCAAGTTGTGTTATAGCAGAGCAGTGACGTGCCCCTCGTTGATTATTGGGGGCATAGAGGAAGCCAAGGTATGCAACACAATATTTATTCATTCAATCGTATTTGAGATTCATTTTATTATATTAGTAACATCCATGACTACCGACTAGTGTTGTAGAAAATCTCGACGAGAAATTCAAGAAATTGAAGGTCTCGTGGACCCATGCAATTGACAGGACGGACAAATTTGGCTACTGTGCTGAGAGATTAAGTGACTAATAAGCTGCATTATTTTGATAAAATTATGATGTTTAATTACTTTTCCACTTTTTAACTATTTGTAATGTTTAATAATTTAGTTGGCAAATGAGGGATAAAGTATATACAAAATGAATGAGTATGTCAAAACACGAAGCAAGAATGGTGTTCAACCTAATAAAGATGTGATGGATGCAATGGTATGTATACATCTTCTCAACACTTAGGAGTGACTGTATTTTAAATTCAATACTTATTCTCAATATTTTTAAATTATAGGAAGAATTCTCTTAACTGTCTCTAATTTGCCCGAGGATGGGCAGACTTCATAAACTAGAGATTGTATCTTTGAAGAGTTGATCGGAATAGAGATTGTATATTTGAGATAACAATCAAAGTGCGAGGTGAACTGCGAGATGAGATATAAGAAGACACGAGTTTACAAACATTTTTAAACTAAAATCAAACAAGTAATTTTAGCGTGGGGGCCTATTGCGTGTGCAACGGGAGAATAAGGGATTGTGGCCAAACACTAGTCCTTTTGGACTTTCTTGCTAGAGCCACGGAGCTAAAGACAAATTCTTTAGTCGCTTATTTCCCTCGGGACTACCAGCAGCTTCGATTGTTGAACTTCGTGCAAGTTTAAGTTATAGTTGTATTTGTTGCAAGTGGAACATAGGTGTTTCAGTTGTGTGTTGACCATGCATCATATCTATTTCATGGAATATGATATAACATGTGGCTTCCCCCAAACATAAAAGAAAAGCTCTTATGCTCACAAAAAATGCTATATGGGTAGATAACTCACAATCAATAAGTGAATTTGTGAACCAAATGAAAAGAGAGATTCGATGAAGTAGTGGTGGATGTTGAGAGTTAGAGAAAATTCTCATCAAGTTAGATTTGACCCTCCTCAATGAGGTTTTGAACAAAATGCACATAGTGGCGTCTTAAATCTTCATCCCGCCAAGCCAAGAACGAAAAAAACAAATTTCAAGGAATCAAAAAAATTGAAAATTGGGCCTATGTCCAACGGATCACAAGTACAAGAACAGGGAGACCTAATTCTATCCTTTAAAACAAAAAGTCCACTTTTAGCTTAGCTTCGAAAACACATGGACAACTCCCTCTAGAAGAAAGAAGGGGGAACGAATGTAAGCACTTAAGGCACCTACAGCAAGTTCTTGAACTTCTTCAAAGAGAAAAATTTTATTTAAATCTTAAAAAGTGCTCCTTCATGCGCGACAAAAATTCTTTTTTTTTTTGGCTATATTGTTTCAGTAGAAGGTTTAGAACCGGATCCCAATAAAGTAAGGGCTGTTATGGAATGGCCAGTGCCAAAATCAAAAGAAATTGTACGGAGTTTTCGATCGTCTCATTGCATTTCCACAAAATGGATTTGAATATAGATACGGTGAAAGTCTATTTAGTGGTATGTTTTCCGATGCATTATAAGTTGGTAGATAAAAGACGTCCCTAGAAGGAGATCTTTCACCATAACTCCCAGAGGGTACTTCAAAAACAGTAAGTGCACTTGGATAGAGAGAATTCGACCTCTTCCTTGCGGCTTTTTGTGGATAATTGCTGATATTAAATTATTAATAATTTTTTTTTGTTTATCTATCCAAAAAAAAATGAGATTCAATCGATCTAAGAAGATGCTGGGTAAAAAATAATTTATGTCAAGTGAACAAATAGGGTTGTTAAATTAAATTTTAGTTTCAATCTGAACCCAAAAAAAAAGAAAAAAGAAAAAGGGTAAGACAATGTGGACCATTATAAAAAAATTTCATCCACGTCTTGTTCATATATGAGATATGTTTTTCTTTTCTTTTTTTTTGTTTACATTAATTTTTTCTCTCATGAAATGAATAATTTTTTCATGAGTGTAATATCCCAAGAATTATCCTTTACAAAATTTAGAATGACAATTTCCAGATATTAGTTACTAAATTGAAGTAATCCAGAACACCCTAAGAAGGGAAGTTAATTGTAGAATATAATTGTTCTTTTTAAAGTCAATTGAATAGATTTAATTTTTGAAATATCGTTTTTTTTTAAAATTTATTTATTTATTTATCTTTTGTTTGAAAGAATACCTTAGCTTGTACTCATCTAAACAACCATAGATTATAAAATTAGTTAGAAACAAAAGTAAAAATACATATAAATACAAAAAAAGAACCAGAATTTAGAAAAATCTTCAATTTTGCCATTGGTATGAACCAGCGTTTGTTTTGGAGAAGGATTTGAAACTGCATGTGTTCATTTGAAAGTTAAAAAAAAATTAAAATAATCACACATGTAGTTTGACGGTTGTGATTATGAAAAGTATTTAAGTTTGACCTTGCATGATTCGATTTAGTCTCTCATTTTTCGGAGAGGTTGCACTCATATCTAAACAAAAAAAAGGTAAATGAGAACATTGGAAAAGAAACCTGTTGGGTCATTTTTGGTAATTCCCTTATAGAAGAAACTCTCCCAATCCAAAGAGCCAAAAACATGATTGAATGCAGCGTAGATAAACCACAATAACATTACAAGCAATTTACTGAAGCTCATCAACGCTGCACTCAATGACGTTTTTAAGATCTCTGATGCTTATCTTCTCTTACATTTTGGATGGATCCAATTCTCTGCCCTCATTACCTCTTCTTTAATATATAAACCTTACCAAGTACTATTTTCTTCCGGTTACAACCCAATCAAGTACAATGAATTGTATTACATTGTACTGCCTTTTTGTCTCTGGCTATTGTTTTACATTGGGCTTTCCTAAGCGTACTGGACTGCTTGTACTACCTCCCTAACTGCACCTTATTTTATTCAACAACTGACATCCACGTGGGTATATAGATTATTTGTCCAGTTCAGTTGAATTTAGGGCATTTTTGGATCCCATAAGCCCTACTCTCATTGAAAATGAGACTGCATATTGCAGCTGAGGTCATTAGTCATTATTTTACAAAAGAATTGGAAATTATGAACATTGTTACAGATGAGATGTGCATGTGGTGAAAGAAATATTTTTAAGAAGTCTAAGATCTGTATTTGGCTTCCGTAAATCACTAAAGTGCGGTTTGATTCATGGGTTTAAGGTGGATTAGTGGGTGAGATTGAGAAAAAATAATCCAGGGGCCCCCACATAACCCATATTTGGTTCATTTATAAGCAAAAGGATTAAACAATTGGATTATTCCCAGGGCTGGGTTTCAAACTGGTTAATTGGGATTATGATTTAATTTACTAAAATGTTGGAAGGCATTAAAGTCAAAAGACAATCCCTATTGCGGGGCTCACATATTTCTTCTATTTCAATCTAACAATTTTCAAACACGAAATAAAATAACATTCTTATCTAAACCTATCCACAAAACTCAATTGGACGGGTTTGGATTGATCTACTTAACCCAATCCAATCCAAAATATTAAAACTTACCAAACAACCTTGAAAGCAGTTCTTATTTGCCCTTTCCCTTGGGAGGAACACAAGGAGAATCTAGAAAAGCATCAATAGGTTTTCAAGGTTTAAGTCACATTTCTTTTCCAGTATATAATAGAGAAGATCACCATTACCACATACATGGTATAACTATGGCTCACTATAACAAATATGTGCAACTTCTATAAACAGTTTTATTATACTTTGCCCTTCAAACTATTAACCTAGTTTCCACCGCATCTCCTTTGCTATCACTTTTCTCAAGTCGCTCTCATAATTATTTTAAATGGCTTCATATTGCAGCAAACCCAAACGGTCACTACAACTTGGATGGAAAATGATCATCGACAATGCGGTCATCACTTGAATCGATACTAGGAGATCAGTAATTGAAAAGCAATGCACAATTGTATAAAAGTTTACAAGTGTTTGGGGTATAACAAATGATGTAATTTGACACACCGTAAGTTGAAAACACAAGAAAAAATAACTAACTTCAAAGGAGGGACTTTAAGCCCACCATGGAGTGTCGCCTGTTCTGAAATCTGTTTCCACCCATGGAACAAACAAGACTTTCCCATCATCAACATCTGCGTGGGCCAGAGCCAATGACTGTTCCACAGTAAAATCACAAGTCAACTACTAGCAAGCAGGAAAAAGAGGAAAGATGACTTATAAGTGATTGTTGACAGTGTTGCTTACCAGAGGAGCAGGGCCTCTCACAACCCTCCCTTGGTTGTTGTACTGAGATCCATGGCAGGGGCAAATGAACTTATTCTCAGCAGCATTCCATGGCACAACACATCCCAGATGTGTGCAGACTGCATTAATACCATAGGTTGCAAGGGTTCTGTCATTCTCCACCACAAGGTATGTGGGATCTCCCTGCAATTTGATGCAAGAATGAAATCTCTTTCAGCATTCTATAATTTTCATAGAAAATTTGAAACGGGGATCGGAAGTACTGAGAATTTGATCCAGAAAAGAAAAGAATATTTTATATAAAACCTTGAAAAACTCTTGTATCTATCACCGTAATTTGGCTTTTGGTCAGTAATTTTTAGGCGCATTTGGTTTGGGTGGCTGTATTGCACACCAAATTTTGCAAAATAACATGATTATAACATTTGGGCAATGGTTACTGAGAATGTTTGACATGTTCAAGATTTCAAGTTCAAAATCAAATTCAAGGTGCCACTGACTGCTGCCCTTATTCTGTAAGGAGCAATTCTACTTTATGAAAGTTGACCAACTCTATGGGCCATAGGGAATGAAACTCCTATTTAGATTAACAAAGGCAACTCAGTGCAAGAAACTTTTGCCACTACATGTGAAGCCTTATCCAACGTGTGGATGAGAGGTTATTTCTGTGAGGCCTATAATGTTCAAGTTATAATAGAACAACTTTACTATGGCGCCAAACCGAACTCATTCACATTTGCTATTAGTCCTTTACCCATAACTACTCATTTTGAAGGAGATTAAGAAATGAGAATACCTTCAATCCTTGAGTAAGGGTTCTGTCTCCGGGTCCATGTGTCTTTAGCCACTCTGATGCAATGACATCATTTCCGAGGGCATCCTTTGCCACAATACCGCCTCCAGCACCTCCCGACCTGTTCAATATCCAATTTACCATATTTTAAATACTCAGAATCGCCACCAACTATATCGGTCTTGAGGTAGAAATAAATTCATTGAAATTCACCAGCTTTATCCATTAAAGTCCAGAATTTCCCCGCAGACTTAGAAATTCTTATGGCACAAACAACTACACACATCAAACGATTGAATATCCATAAATGTGGATGGCATATTATGCTGCCAAGAACGCCCCCCCCCCCCCCCCCCCCTCCTCCTCTCCCACATTTCAAGAGCATTTTCCTTACATAATCAGAAAATCTGCCAATTTGATAACAACAAATGCTTTTTTCCGACTGAAATAAGCTGACGCTCAACAACACATTATCGAAATTCGCCATTGGAAACTTAAAAACACACGTTTGCATAACATGCTAGTTCAAAATGATATGCTTAAATTATAGTTAGAAAGGAACCGTCAAAGAGACTGACCCGGGTGGAGCAAAGAAGGTGGCATAAGGGACCAACATGCCGGCAGTGGGAAGCGAAAGAGCACCCAAAAGAAGCAAGTTCATGAGCTCCCTCTTACCCATGTCCGGCACTCGGTCAGCTGGAATGCTGGTGGCCTGGCATGTGATTTTTATGCTCTTTTCCCTCTCTCTAAATTGTGTCCTTCTTGACTTCAACATTAGAGCTTGGAATGAAAAGAACATCCCATTCTTACCAGAACAAAGCCGAAAAAAGAAAACCCAATAAGAAACATAATCTGAATTGGCAAGTCCTGGATTTAAAAAAAAAATGATCACAGAGAACTAATCTACAGAGGAATATTCACAAACATATGGAAGGTGACATTTTAAGTATTACCTGTGAAGGGGTAGCACGGGAGAGTGTAGAGGCAGCCATGGAAGGGAATTGGGAAAGAACAGAATTGGCTCTCGCAGATTATGTGGAGGAGAGAGAGATTGTAAAGAGCACAGCATTACAGATAAGGCAAGTTGAATTAGTTCAAAAATTCAGACTAATAAATTAGATTTAAATAATAATACTAGTTTATGAACATACTAAGTTTCCGGAGTGACATACAATCACTTGAAGTCACTTGAATTATGTTATGAACATACAATCAAATTCACTTGAATTTGTAATAAAAATTTCCTTAAAAAAATCGAAACAAAAAAAAAATAAATTGGAGAGGGTGTTGTTAACACTCCCTTTTCCGCTACTCGTGGGTCCAAACCAACTTGGTTGCTATACTGTTGGATAAAAAACTATGCCCCACCAAGGGAAAAAATATTCATTGCAACGGTATTTCCATAAGCTCCAACTGCTGTAACGAACTAAACACCTATTTCTTGCATTCTGCTACAAACAATCATCTTCTTCTCTTCACAAAAACTTCTGAACTGCAAACAAAGAAGAAAGAAAATGGCTTTGGAACTCCGAATTGCAGTTGTTGAGGAACCCAAACACCAGTCGATTCAAAAACTCTTCCAAGAAGAATCAGAACACATGGCTGCTGAGGGTTACTCCCACAATCAAACTGCCTCCCTTCAAAGAAGGCGAGCGACATTCTTCATCGGACAAGTAAGATCACCAAAAAAATCTCCTGTTTTTTTTTTAAGAGTTTCTCTCTCTGAAAGGTGTTTTCTGTACAGTACGGCGTTAGTCATTACGATCCATTCACGTCATATCTTGCCATGAGTTACTTCGATCGATATGTTTCAAGAAACCCATTTCAGGTAAGACCATGAATTCTTCTGGGTTTCTTGAGTTTAGCTAAGATTGTTTCGGTTCGTGAATATATTTTGATGTTGAATTCTTCAAACTGGGAAACATTCATTCTTGATGTTTTAGGACAAACCAACTGACCAGTCCTTGAAGATCTCTGCTATAGCCTGTCTTATGATTGCTTGGAAGATGAGAACACAACGTTTTAGCTTGCGTGAATTTATGGTAAAACTGAAGCTTTTTCATATTTCATGTCCTTTCTTCTTTTCTTTTTCTTTTTTTTTCCTCAAAGAAAATGTTAAGAACACTTTGTTCAATTCGTGAACAGACGAGGAACAATCTCAACAAACTGGAGCTTCGGGAGATAGAGAGAATGGAGTTTCGAATCATCGCCGGGTTGAATTGGCGTCTACGATCGATCACGGCCTTATGCTTTCTTGATTTCTTCATTTCATTGCTGAATATCGATGATGATCAGCGATTGGCACAATATCTAAAACTTATTGGTCTAGAGGTTGTGTTCAGAATGCAGGGGGGTAAGAACTAAAAGAAGGGAGAAGATGCATCTTTTTGAATAACATTTTGATCTTCTGAAGAACAAAGGAAAATATGTTAATCAATTGTTGTTTTAATCACAGATATCGAATATACAAAGTTCAGGCCGTCAACAATTGCTGCTTCTGCTGTATTAGCTGAATCACCACTGATGGGAAGATATTCTGAGTTCATGGAGACTATTGAGTCCCGCCAATTCGTCAACAAGGTAATGAAAAAGAAAATGTTTGGCTTTCAATAGACCAATTGTGCTAGATCTGTGGATCCTGTCAGATAAAATCAGATCCTGTCAGATAAAATCAGATCGAGTTGGGTGTTAATTGTTTCCTTTTAAAAGATATTTTACTTATATCTCACGAGTTTATTAATTCGTGTTGAAATATAAATATTTAAGGTATATTTACTCTAAAAATTTAATTTTTTTGAATAGATGATTGTTTAACATCCTATCAAAATAGGATGATAATATTCAAATTTTGCCGTCATCCTATTGATTAAAAAGATTTTCATGTACTAAACATATTGAAATATAAATACTTTAGTTACATTATCTCTAACGAAGTAGATGGTTAATATCAAAAAAAAAAACAATAGATGGTTATTTAACAGTTTCTAACGATTAATGAATTGTGTAATATTGTGTTAGTAAAGTGTAAAATTGATTTATAAACGAATTGTATCTTGTATTTATTTTGATTGACTTTATTCATACTTAATTAGTTTATTAATTGTGTCGGGTCGAGTGAAATCATTTACAAAACAGGCGACTGAACAAAAAATCAACCCTGTAATCTGGTCATATTTTGACATGCACCCAAATACACCCAAATAGCAATCTGGTCAATAACTCCAATCTCAATCTCATCTGAATGTCAGACAGCCTCTATGTTTTCGAGCTTATATTCGAATCTGTTAAAAAAAAAAAAAGGGGAGAATTACACCAACACTCCTTAAAATTTATCACTTAATCACTCAAATTTCTTGATATTTAAAATATTACACACAAAACCTTTTAAGTTTATATGCATATAACACTTAGACCCCTGTTGTAAATATATGTGTTACTAAATTATACTTAGAACTCCTTGAAGTTTGTAGATATATAATACTTATATCTTTTAAGTTTAAAATATTATACTTATATAAAAAATAATTCAATTAAAGATAGAATATCAAATATTTTAAATTTTACAATCAAAATTTATGTTCTATTATATCATTTATTGAAATAATTAAAAATAAAATTTTAATTTTTCTTAAAAAATAGTAATTAGTATAAAATTTTACTATCTATTGGAATAAAACTAAAAAATCAAACAAGGGATCTAAATCATTCATAATAGAACATAAATTTTATATTCAAAATTCATGTTCTATTATGTTATTTATTGAAATAAAATAAAAAATAAAAATCTAGTTTTTTTTAAAAAATCATAGTTAGTATATTATTATATTATTTTTTAGAATAAAATAAAAAATTAAATAAGCGATCAAATTGTAATAAACACAATATCTTTTAGCTTTAATTGAGGTAGTTTAATATTTTAATGTGGTCGTTTAAACAACCTAATTAAATTTTAATAGGCAATATAATTGTATACTAGTTACGGTTTTTTAGGAAAAAATTGAATTTTTATTTTTGATTTTATTTTAATAAATAATACAATAGAACATGAATTTTAATTGTAAATTTAAAATATTTGACATTTTAACTTTAATTGAAATATTTTTAGTCTAAGTACAACATTTTAAACTTAAGAGGTCTTGATGTAATTTATTAACAGATATATTTACAGCATGATCTAAGTGTTACTCTCGTACAAATTTTAGGAGATCTATATGTAATATTTCAAATATCAAGAGGTCTAAGTGATTAAATGATAAATCTCAAGAGATCTAAGTATAATTCTTCCAAAACATACTCAAAAAAACTAATTCGGTCCGCATAACTCAATTAAATCAAACTTAGTCTAAATTTTAACTCAATTTTAATAAATAATTACATAATGTCAATATATGATTAGATACATCTAAATACAATTTAGATCAAGTCAGAATCACCCAATATTTGTGCTGGGTTTGGTACAATGAAAAAATAAAATGTTGAACTCACCAAAATTAATCCCTCTAAAATTGGAAGAAAAGTGGAATGAAAAATAAATTATTTATGTTGAAATGTATCTTGTTTATCTATATATCTTTTGATATTTATTATATTATGTATATATTAATTTCATATATAAATACAATAATAAAATATGTATTTATATTATTTTTAAAAAAAATTAAAATTAAAAAAAAAAAAAGATAAAAATTTAAAAGTAAAATTTAAAAAATATTTTTTCCATTTTACTAAACACAAAATAATAATAATAATAATCATTTATATTTTTCATCCATCCTACCAAATATAAAGAAATAAAAGTGTATCATTCATATTTTCTTTCTTTGAAAAATAAAAAATATATTCCTTCAACTTTTCATTCCTCTTATTTTTCATCATTCTTTCCTCCTAAACATGGCATTAAAATATCTAAGACCAGAAAACATGGTATACAGAATTTGAGCAGGGTACGGATGAAAATTCGATATATTAACAATCCTACTTGTTGTATATTGCAGTGCTTGCATGTTGTTTTTTTCCCATAGTCATTGATGTTGTTGATTCAGGATGATTTGACCAAGTGCGAGCGTGCTTTACGAGTCACCTTCGCAACAGACTTTGTGATAGAAATTGGTGGCGCCCATGGACCTCCTGCTCCATTTTCGCCACCTCGGCGGATCTTCCTCAATCGTCCCATGATCCGACTATTGATGATGCTGAAGCCGCAAATTGACAATGGACTTTAGTTCTTCGGGTTTCACTTAGGTAGATCATTTATTATTTTTTTGGGTATAATACTATTTTTTAGGTTCAATTATAATTTTTTGAATAGAGTTTTTTATTTTTTGAGAAAAAAATTCATAACTTTGTACATTTTTCTTATGCAGTAAGATACCAAAAAATAGAATTTGGGTACCTTCATTACCCTTGTTATTCATACATTTGGGAGAAATACCAATTGTTGAACTCGTATGAAATTTTCTTGGCGTTAGGAGACAGTTATGCGTATGATTTGGTACACAGTACTTACATCTTCGGACTAAAAATCTACATCGATGTATTTATTAAAAAACTGATCATCTGGTAACTGATTACATAATACTCAACCCTATTTATAGGGATAAAATATTATAACTCAAACCTATTTACATACAACTTGATCTTTGTGTTTTCTATCACATGTCTAATATACCTATTCATGATATATTAAAACACTTCAAATATAATCTTATTCCATATAGGATTCTTACATTAATAACCTAACAAACTCTCTTTCATAACAATTAGAGAGTTTGAATCAAATTCCAACAGCCTCCTTTGAACCAAACTCTTCAACTTTGGTTATGCTCAAAATCGGGCTTATCACTCTTAATTCTGATTCACCAATTTTTTCAAGCACTGCATGCAAACTTGTTCTTTAGAGTCTCCACAATTCTCTCTGTCTTTCAAGAGCCTGCGTTTTGGCCTGCATCATCTGTGCACCTCTACCCGCATCTTACCCTCTTGGGAGGTCTCAATGGTCAATGCTTCACCCTTCAAAGGTAAAAGCCTAGTGATTCGTAACTCACTAGACATCAAATCATCACTATTGAGTTTATATTAGCTCAATAGCTCCCAAACCACTAGAATATCGCGACTTCAACTTTAAGAGTCCAAAAACCTGAAGAAACATCTTCAATACAGCACGTGTGATAATTTTTTCCAAACAATCAGGAAGCAATTTAGTCTTTCGTTTGGTTTCATACCAACTTTAAATTTTTTCTTATGGATCTAAACAAAAATATAAATTATATATAAGTGACAAGAGAGTCTTCTTCAACATGAACACTAAGTTGATAATTGGATCTTCAATAACCCACTCTAATTTGCATTAGGATTGTCAATCTAACTCTGACACCACTTGTTGGTATTGCATAGCAGATAATTAACACAAATAATACTTGTTGGAGGATAGGAATTTAAAGATAAAAAAACAATTAAAAATACGTTACAAAGATATAACGTGGTTTGATACAATATACCAGCTTGATACACAGTACCTATATCCATGGACTAAAAATCTACATCGATGTATTTATTGAAAAACTGATCATCTGGTAACTAATTACATAATACTCAATCCTATTTATAGAGATAAAATACTGTAATCCAAATCTATTTAGATACAACTTGACCTTTGTGTTTTCTATCACATGTCTAATATACCTATTCATGATATATTAAAACTCTTTTAATATAATCATATTCCATATAAGATTCTCACATTAATAACCCAACAAACTCTCATTCTTAACAATTAGAGAGTTTGAATCAAATTCCAACCGTCTTTATCAAACTATATTATCGTAAAAGTAAGTAGTGAGTTGGTATATCATTAGTGATATAAGCCACATCTCAGTATGATTTTGTAGCAACTATGCAATCTTTTTATTTTCGTTATCAAACTCATCCAATCAAATGTTTTTTTTTATGTAGCAACATACATCTATGTGATTAATATCTCTTATTTGCTAATTAAATGCGAGACCACTACTATTTTTGAATAACAATTTTTTTCTCGAATACTAACTTGAGTACCTTGAAAAGCTATGTGGAGGCGTAGTATTTCTGAAACCCAAGGGGAGTATAGGATATTCTTGAAAATTTGGGAGGACAATTAAAAAAATCATAGTGGATAAGGTCAAAATACATTTTTTTTCCTAACAATTAATATTGTACCCTCCACCATGTGATGAATTTCACATTCCTATATATATTACATATTTAATAGAAAATTATTTCATTTTGTTCCCGGGCTATGTAATGTTTTTATGTTTGCCCCAATACTTTGACAATTTTCGTCTAAAAAGGTAATAGATAGTTCCGACTGAGACAATGTGAAATAATTTAAATAATTAAGAGAGTAATGTGAAAAATTTAATAATTCAGATAATAAAGTGAAATTGAGTCTATAGTTGACGGGGATATAGTACAATTTTCCCTTTGGCTATTATTTAGCTTAGTGCAATTTTCCCTTTGGCTATTTTGTAGCTTGTCATATGTAAATTGTCTTACTCAATTCCGATTAGAATTGGAGTCCAGGAAGAATCCCAATCAAGGAAGTAATTTGACTCACCTTATCTTGTCAATATCAAGCTAGCATGCCCTTTAAATTCCTGCTAATCTATTTTTTAAGAGTAAAAACCCTAGTTTTTCTTATCAGTCAGCCATGGCAACCTACGGTAGAACAAGAACAATTTTCATCATCGTCACAGTCATCGCCACTATACTTGTTGTCTCGATTTTTATGACTACATATGATAGAAAAGAAAGCACGTCCTACGACAATGGTGGCGGCCCAGGCGACGGCGAGTCAACCGTGGAGTACTGCGTGAAGCACCACTCGGGTAATCCGCCTCCGCCAAACCACAAAGAAGGCTGGAGGTCGGAGTATTACTATATTGTTTGTAGAGATGTGTTTCGCAATATTGGCTTAAGCTATCAAGTATCAGGTATATTACCACCCGACTACGTTAAAGCCATGAAAAACGTTCCAGAATTCAAGAATAATGAAACGGCCTTGAATGCTTTTTTTTGCGGCCTTGCCGCCACCTACCGTGGTGTTAGATGTTGAAGAACCTGGTGTTTTTATTTGACAAATGTTTGTGCATAGATAAAGTGTTGTGGAATGAGACTTCAGACACTATGATCTCCAATCACTATATGTGACAAAGTAATATGAATGGTTAATAATAATTTTTTTCTTTTCAGCAACTGTGTGTTCTCTTTAGTGAACTATTGTTATTGTGGAATCATTCCCCGGTAGTGGCGATATGAATTCTTTGACAAAGAAGAATTTCTATTATTTAGTGAACTCTTGTTAATGATAATGTTAAAATTCTCAATTATTTGAAAGAATCTTCATTTGCTAGCAATAAGAATTCTTTGACAAAGGAGAACAATAATATCTTCATACTGCAATTATGAACTCATGATAGAATTCTATAATTTTCGTAGAAAATTTGAAAAAGGGATCGGAAGTACCGAGAATTTCATCCAGAAAACAAAAGAATATTTTGTATAAAACCCTGGAAAAACTCTTGTATCCATCACCGTAATTTGACTTTTGGTCAGTAATTTTTAGGTGCATTTGGTTTTTCTGGCTGTATTGCACACCAAATTTTGCAAATAACATGATTATAACATTTGGCCGATGGTTACCGACAATGTTTGACATTTTTTTTTGGGAGGGAGAGGGGGATGGGATTTGAACCCTTAATTTTAAGAAAACAAAGATAAAAAGTGTTATTAGACCAAAAATTCATTGATGCTGACAATGTTTGACATGTTCAAGATTTCAAGTTCAAAATCAAATTCAAGGTGCCACTGACCGCTGCCCTTATTCTATAAGGAGCAATGCCCTTATTATCCAAATAAAACAGAAATGTCAAGAAAGTGAAAATAAAAAAATGATAGCATAAAAATGCAAACCCTAAAGCATAGAGAACAAGGGTATATTATACAGCAGTCAATTCTGTAGAAGCTCACAGTCAATCCTCTGCAAATAGAGCTTCATTGTTGTTAGGTCATAGGCAACATTGTAATTCTGTTGAGCCATCACTCCAATAATACTCATTGTCCCAATTCCATTATCCTCGGATATTTTCACTGCCATGCAAACTAATCCATTCCGCTGCTGTCTAAACATGCTTGTTATGTCTAGCACTAAATCCGCTCCGCCAGCCAAGTTTAGCGTAACAACCGGAAACCCTTTGAGGTCTTTGTTTAGTATTCCTAGGTAGCACAAGTCTTGGCCGTTAATTTGCGGTAGCAGGCCTCCTATTAAATTTTGAATTTCTGATTTAAGTTGTTCATATGCAGCTCTTCTGAGATACATTAGTGTAGCTCCCGAGTCGATAACTACCCCATCTGTACTGGATGTTCTTTTGAAGATGTTCGGATCTATGCCAAGTAGGGTCTCTCCTACCCTTATGCTTTCTAAGGTTATATAGTAATGACCATCATATAGTTCAAGTGGCGTTGAATCACCTTCAATAATCGCCCCGTCCCCTAGGATAAGTTGGTTGTAGATATAATGATGATCTCCTATATCCCCAAGGCAATAAGAAAATTTGGAAGAGAGTTTGGAGACTAACGATATCTTTTGAAAACCAAGTCCAAGAACCCCATTTGTTAGTGCACCATTGCCCGCATTATATTTATGCCCGCAGCCAAAAACAACATTGGAGACATCTATCAAGTCATCTGTAGACGTCACAAATGAGAGCTTCTCCGTGCCAAGATCCCCTACGCTTGTTGTCCTATCAGCATATTTGATGGAATAGTTACATTGGTCTGTAGAGTCACAAATCCCATTAATATTTGAATCACAATAGTTAACATAACAAGAAATATCATTGTAAGTCGATGATTTCAATGGATCGAAGATAGGGGTAGTTCTAGTTGGTGGATAGCATTCACTACAAGGTTGGCAGTGAACCCATGTTAGACTGCTACCAGTATCCATTGTTAGTAGCTGTGGGACGGGTGGATCCCCAATTGATAAGTTGACAAAAAAAGTGGAGCCTCTATATTCTGGAATGACACTACCACGAATGTCATCATCGGGGAAAGAAACTATAGGCCTTGACTGAGGGAGAACGGAATCACGATGAACTAGTTTGGTGGTGATGGTGGATGCGGTGATCATGGTCGTGGCTGTAGAGGCAAGAATCATGAAAAACGAGAGAGGGACAAAGTGATACAAGAGAAAACAATGCATGTTGGCGGTGGTTGTAGCCTCCATCATGTACAAAGGTATTCTACTTTATCTCTTGTGTCCGTAGGATGCAAACTTACAAAGTGCCTTTTTTTTAGGGTTCCAATGATTTCCTTATGTAAGTTGAGATCAAGTTTTTCAAGCGTGAGGTAGATGAATGATAGTTAAACATCACCTTCTCATTTCAGAATGAATATTGTTTTTAGTTCTCGGTGTACTGTTTTGGTGACTGGATTTTCTATTCAAGGGACAGGTGAACTGTCCTTCAAGATCTAAACACACTTATCATGAAGGGAAAAAAAAAACATAAGAGAAAGGACTAATTGCATTTTTGTTCCCTAAAAAAGCTTTTAAAACCTCAGATTTCCCCTAGTCATAAAATTCTCTTATATTTGCCCCTCAATTTTAAGTTTTCTTTGAATTCGCATATTATGTTGAATTTGCACCATCAATTTTTGAGGCTTTATTTCCATTTTCACCCCCAACTCAACCTTAAATTGAAGGTATAAATATAATGGAGACAACTTAGAAAGAGAGAGAGAGAGAGCAAAGTGCTCCCTTGAAATTAAGTTCAACAAAGAGTACATTAGGCATAAACTACAAAGTGCTACTTAATGCAGTCAACACAATTTCAAAATCTCCAAAATTAAGGAGGAAGAATATCATCTTTTATTAACTTTTCTACTCTTTCCCTAAAAATATGACTCAAAATGTCATAACTGTGAAGACTTTTCTTTAATTAGAAGTCTTTTGTATACAACAATCACAATATTTGAAGAATCATATTCGTTATTGAAAGCCAAGCATACACTTTGCAAACCATCTGATAACATATAATGATCAACAATTTAGAATTTAAAGACAATTGAGTTTTATCATTACTAAAATTAAAACTCAGCCACCTTGCTTTTGCTGATGATCTTCTGACGTTCAGTCATGGTAACCTTACCTCTGTTAAGGTTCTCCATCTTTCATTACAGTTGTTTCAAGCCATCTCTGGATTGCAGATTAATCTGGGGAAAAGATTTATCTATCACTGTGGGACTCTACTTGATGTCAAATCCCAAATCTCTCAGCTTCTCGACCTGTCAGAAGGGGTCCTTCCTATTACATATCTGGGCATTTCCCTCATCACATCTAGACTCAAAAAGCAGCGTTGTGAAGGTCTTGTGGAGAGAATCAGAAAGAGGATTAGTTCTTGTACTAATAGATTGTTGTCTTACGTGGGTAGGCTCTAACTTGTGACCTCTATCATCAGCTCCATTCAAGTCTTCTGATCCTCCCATCTTGCACTTTCGCAGTCTGTAATTAATAAAATTGAGCAGCTTATAAGGGCTTTTCTATGGAAGGGTGTTGATTTGAAGAACATTGGTGCTACAGTGGCATGGACTGAGGTTTGCAAACCTAAAGATGAGGGTGGATTGGGCATCAAGAGGCTCAAGAATTGGAATGCTGCCTTGCTTATGAAGCACATTTGGAAGTTATTCACTGACAAGCAGGTCTTATGGTCAAGGTGGATTCACTCTTACCACCTAAGAGGGAGAAGTCTTTGGAAAATCAGAGCTACCCCTACGAGCTCTTGGACATGGTAGAATATTTTAAAGCTAAGGGACGTTATTAGACCTCTTTTGACTCATAAAATTGGTAATGGTTATGATATTTTTCTACGGCTTGATAGTTGGCATCCTAGTGGTCCTTTATTCCAAAGATGGGGTCATATTCTCATGCTTACCTCTGCACTCAATTTGTGTTCCAAAGTTAGCTGCATCATTTCTGGGTCTCAATGATGCTGGCCCAACTCCTCTTCTCATGCTCTGGTTAGGATTGTTGATTCTATGCCTGCTTATTCCTCCAACCATCTTGCTGCTAACAATGTCCTTTGGTCTCTTGCTGCAAATGGTTGTTTTACTACAACTTCTGCTTGACACTACATCAGAGTTTCTGGGCAAAAAATTCCTTGGTCGAAGCTTGTTTGGCACACACATCTCATCCCCAGGATGAGCTTTATCTTATGGCTTGCCATTAGGCAAAAATTATATACCAAAGACAGATCTCTCTCTCTTGCCAATCAGGTGGACTTGGGGTGCATCTTTTGCAAGCAACTCTCTGAGACTCATGCTTATCTCTTTTTTGAATGCACCTTCTCCCATAGTGTATGGGAATCCATTCTCGCCTGCAGCCAAATTTAGTGGTCTTTTTCTCCTTGGCACTCTTTCATCAACTGGGTTGTTACCTAGTAGAAGGGGAGATCTATGCTCTCTGTCATACTTAAACTTAGCCTTGCTTTCATAGTTTATCATTTGTGGATGGAAAAGAACTCCAGAGTGTTCTCAAACTAATTCAGGGACCGCAACTCTCTTATTCGAATCATTAAACAAGCAATCAAGGACAAACTCATGTCTACTAAATTCAAATATTCCACCTAGAATCAAAGGATGCTGCATCTATGGGATCTTCCTCTCAACTGCATAACATGAACACTGGTCTTCCTTTCCTTTGGATGGACAACATTTGTTGTTCTTTTTATTGTATGGGCTATTCTGGTGTGGAACTCGATGACATGTGCTTGATGTTTGTTGCTTGGCGTTGGGATGTGTTGCTGGTGCTGTTTTTTTTGTCTTTTGAATTAGGTTGTGTTGGGGGGCTGTCTGTTGGACGTTTTTGCTGTGTTTGGGCTGGTTGCTAGTGCTGTTTTTTGTCTTTGTGCTGGCTGCTGATGCTTGATAAGGTAGCATTGTAGTTGTTGTTATGTGGAGTTGGACTGTTTTGCTGCTATATGGAGCTGGACTGTTTTTGCTTTGCTCTGGGATGCGTTTGCTTGTTATGTGGCTATCCATTTGATGTTTACTACTGCTATGTTATGATAGGCTGCTCTGCTTTATTCTGATTTCTTGTTACTGCATATAGTTTGCTATGGATTCACAAGACCCCTTGCTGTTATTGGTCTGCCTCCTTGCATATCAGTGGTGTTAAGGGGCAAAATTGATTTCATGTTATGTCTTCTTTTTGTCTACCAATGTATTCTTGTCAACAATTTTGTGGTAGAAGCTCTTACTCAGGGCATCTCCTACAGACTTATGTCTTGAACCCTAGATTTTTGGGTTTTTTTGTTTTGTCTTTGGGTCCCAAGTGACTTCATTGTATATTTTGCGGGTGATTACCTTTGTATATCCGTTTTATTTTTATACATTTTACCTTTTGAAAAAAAAAATTAAAACAATATCCAATTTTAATAAGTAAGGAAATTGAAATCAAATTTCGCCTAAATGACAACATATAAAAATTATTTCCTAAAATAAGTCGAAAACAAGTGTCTAAATTAAACATAACAGTTCTTATGAACTTAAAATAAACTTTATTATTATTTCTTATTTTAAACTTAACTGCTTATTCACTTCGCTTTTGTTTGATTGTGAACCCCAGCAAAGTCGTAACAATATAAACAAAAGCCCCAATATTAATCTACGAAGAACTTATGGGACATTAATTAAATTGAATTCAAAGCAAACAAAGGTCATGGAGTTATCTTCTTTTTTATTCTTCTTTTCTAACCAAGACTTGAATCTACTGCACTCACTTTTCTTTTGACTCTATTTCTTGCAAAAGTAACACTTGATATTTTTTTTCGAATGACAACCTTAGGACCTCCCACATTTTAACTAGTATCATGCCTTTTGAAATTTCGATCACTCTTTAGAGCATTATGATTGGGGTTTCTATTATTTTTCTGATACCCATCTTTGAAACTATGTTTAGACTAGGAAACAAATAACACAGTTTCACTTTTTTCTTTTCTAAGTTTTTCTTCCTTAAATCACACTTGGAGACAAAGACATTTATTGTCCAAGACTCATTTTGGGTATTGCAAGTAGTTTTGATTTGGCTAAACTCAGAAAACAAAGAATTAAGAGTGTGATAAACAATTAAATCATCAGGAATAATAATTTTGAAAACTTTGAGCTTGGTTTGAATATGAATTATTTTAAGGATATACTCCTTAACACCGTCTATATTGTCATATTTCATACTCGTTAATTCATTTATTAGGTCCCCAACTTCAGTCTTATTGAATACCTTACATCTCTCTTCTACAATGGTTAAGAACTTCTTAGCATTTTTTGTTTTAGACAAACCACTTAAAAAGTGTTCAGAGATACACTTTTTCATAACAAACATATTTAGCCAATTAGATCTCTCCCACTTTACATAAAATTCTTTTACTTTAAGAAAGTTCTCACTAATAGGTTTAGGATGTTCATTTTTTTCAAGGTGAAATCTATATTAATAATTCTCAAGACAAACTCAATATTTTGTTTTCATCTCTTATAATTAGAACCAGTTAGGACCTTAATATTGACATTATTGTTATGCACAGAGATTGGTCAAGGCAACGAGAATAAAAATATTTAACAAAATTAGGTAATAAATAAATAAAATATACTTCAAAATTATATTATATTATAGAAATTTTAAAACTAAAGAATTAGGTGAGATAAACTCACATATACAAGAATTTATTTTAATAGATTGCAAACAACATTATCAAGAGTGTACAAACACCTTCTATAAATTATAACAATTTAATCAAAGTTATCAAGATAAATAATAATTGATTGCTATGTGTAAAATTTGTATCTATTTATCAACAAACAGTAGTTGTATCATCAAATAAAGAAACATTTAGTTAACACAACAACAATCGAAAAGGCATAAGTTGACTATTCAAAACATGGGTTGACTATGCAAAGTCTACCACGTAAGAGGAATTTAATGAATACAATAATAATTTTGTATCATTAGAACTATTAAATCAACACTAAATTTTAATATTTAATGGGACCTATAATTAATTCAAAAATTATAATAAATTAAATCAACAAATTAAATTAATAAATTAAGTTTCAATAACATTGCTAAAACTCAATTGCAATCTCCGCACGCGAAGTAATTTGGAATTCAATTCATAAAAGGTACATGACTTTCAACTTCAGCAATTAACCCCGATGGAGTCTATAAAATATTATAAAGATATTATAATAAGAAAAAAAAAAAAAAAAAAAACCTTATATAGGGCCATTGTTCAAGATTTTCCAACTGTATTGCCATTGAAGGCAACTGGGTGTTGAGAAAAATCGGATCCGCCAATGTGACAAAAAATAGGTTTTGAAATCCCCAAATTGTATGAATAAAATTATTAAACAAATTTCATTGGGTTATAAATTTATATACGATGACTTTGATACCATATCTAACATTTATTAACGATTCGTATATAAAATTTAAAACACCTATATTATATGGTTTAGACTACACCTGTGTGAGACATGATATTCGATCTCCAAGTTTATTTCACGGAAGACAAAGTAATAGGTAACTCTTAATGTGACAAACCAAATTAGGTTATGAAATGGAAAAGAAACATAGTCTACTATTTATAATAAATCTAATGACTTTCTCGTTACGGGTCACAATTAGATTAAAATCTACACTTAATTGCCTCAACCACATCAATTAAAAAGATGTATATAAGCTTATCACAATAGATCACTTAACAATATTGGGTTCATCTCATTAGATTATAAATTCAATTCGTTTTTTATAAACCAAAAAATTAACTATCAATTAATAAAAGTCCAATATGAAAAAATTTCAACAGTGGCTCCCAATGGATAAGTTGACAAAAAATAAAAAATGAAGTCTCCATCATATGGAACTACACTACCTCGAATGCCATCATTGGGAAAAAAAACTTTATTTCTTGACTGAGAGAGAAAGGAATCGCGATGAACTAGTTTGGTGGCGATGGTGGATGTTGTGGTCATGGTCATGGTTGCGGAGGCAAGAATAATGAAAGACAAGAGAGGGACAAAGTGATACAACAGAAAACCATGCAGGTTAGTTGTTGTTGGAGCCTCCTTCATGTACAAAGGTATGCTACGTTGTCTCTTTGTGTTCGTAGAATGCTTGCTTACAGAAGTGCCTTTTTTGTGGTTCCAATAGTATCATTTGAGAATGAATATTGTTATTGTGAGTGGATTTTCTACTCAAGGGACAGGTGAAATGTCCTAAAAGATTTAAACACACTTGTCATGAATGGGAAAAAAAAAAAAGGAACAAGAGAAAGGACTAACTGCTTTTTTGTTCCCTATAAAAGCTTTTAAAACCTCAGATTTCTCCTTGTCATAAAATCCTGCCCCTCAAAAATTTTTAGTTTTATTCGAATTTGCACCATCAACTTTTGAGATTTGATTTCAAAATTTCACACAAACTCAACCTTAATTCGATTTAATTTTTAAATTGATGGTACAATGGAAACATCGTTAGATAAGAGATGGTACAAAATACAATTTCTTTTTCTCTAATGCCCTCTAGTTAATGAGTACTAGTGTGTTGTTGCAAAGCATGATTTTTTAATTCATGGATTGAGTTGATATGATTTAAGAGTTAAAATTTATATGAGTTCTTGTAGTTAAAATGTTAAAATATAATTTGAGTTATTATGATTAAAAGTTAAATAAATTACTGTAGTTAAAAGTTAAAATTTAAATTAATTATTATGGTTAAAATTTTAAAATATTAAATCGTAATATAAATTGTCGGTTCTAAAGACAGTTATTATGCTTTTTTAAGTAAGAAGCTCAAGTAAAGCGCCTTATTTTATTAATATAGGTTTGTCTACGTCAATGGATCCACCTTCTATATATCCTATGAAAATTGTTATTTAGATTTAATTTGATAAACTTATTTGTTGATTTAATGTATCAAGTGAATAAATAATAAATTATATCAACAAATTAGTACACAACCTAATGATTAGCATGATTATATAAGCTAAGTCAATTGCATTAAAACCACACCCCTTTGCCATGGGCTATACAACTGTCATAACGAACCAAAATAGCCGCCTCAGAGGACTTGAACCGAGAAAAAAAAAAAAAAAAACTACTTGCAATCGTCTCTTGCATCTCTGCAGCCACGAACATCTTCTTCTCTTCACAAAGCTTCTGAAAACTGCAGACAAAGTAGAAGAAAATGGATTTTATTCTTCGACTCGCCTCCGACGAAGAATCCCATCACGAGTCAGTTCAACAACTCTTTCAACAAGAAGTAGAACACATGGCTGCTGAGGGTTTCTCCCAGAATCAAGCTGCCATCTTTCAGAGAAAGCGAGCCGAGTTCTTGATTAGAGAAGTAAGATCATCAGCAAACTGTTAAAAAAAAAAAACTTCTGCTTTTATAATTAGTTTTTCACACTAAATTAGAACTTTGGCCTTTTTTCTGAACTTGATTAATTGTATCTTGTGTACCACAGTATTCTGATTTCGATTACGATCCATTCGTACCATTTCTTGCCCTGACTAACTTCGATCGCTATGTTTCAAGATACACATTGCCGGTAAAAGAAGAACAATTTCTGGGTTTTTTTTTTAATTTTATTTTAGCTTTAGATTAATGTTTCGGGTTCGGGATTGTGTTTTGATGTTGAATTCTTGAAACTTGGCAATCTTGATTGTGTAGGACCGAACACCTGATGATTATTTGGAGTTATTTGCTATCACCTGTGTTGTGATTTCTTGGCGGATAAGATCAGAAAACTTTCGGTTGGGTGAATATCTGGTAGATATTAACTGCAGTACTCTTTCATGTTGTTCATGTCCATTCTTTTTTAAAACACAATGCCTAGCTAGAAAAACTTTGTTCAACTGTTTGAACAGGAATTGAACAATATCAACCATCCGAAGCTCCCGGAAATTCAGAAAATGGAGACTCTGATTAATTCTGGGTTGGATTGGCGCCCACGTTCGATCACAGCCTTATGCTTTCTTAGTTTCTTCATTTCGTTGTTGAACATCAATGAACAACACTCTGAACAAGATCTCAAGTATAAGGCTCTGAAGATTGTGTTTAGAATGCACAGAGGTAATGTAAATAAAAGACATTTTTCATTGAATTTAGTTTGTCTGAATAACAAAGAGTAGTACATTAATCACCGTTTTTCTAATCACAGATATCAAATATACGCAATTCAGACCGTCAATAATTGCAGCTTCAGCTGTTCTAGCAATATCAAAGACGATGGGAAGATATTCTGATTTCAAGGAGGCTATTGTGTCCAGCCAATTTGTCAATAGGGTAATGGTTGTAGATTCAGTTGCATATTTTTTTTTACATCAGTTGAAAATTTATCATTTTATTATCTATTGCTTCATCCTCATCCCACACTATAATCTGAAGACAATTATATATATTGCTATAACAATTATCAAGGTATTTAGTTCTCTGTATTTATAGGCAGTGAATTCTGACCATTGAGGTTAGACTTCCTGGCCTCTTAGTCTGTTCCTAGGGCTGTTCCTTATAACGGCTACAACTGTCCTCAACCGTCTGGCACTGACATCTCTATGCAACCACGTTTGGTTCTTCACCCTACCGAGATCTTTGGAGATCTTTTTGGATAGCTATTGAATCATACAAGACCCATTTTGACTCAGACTTAGCCGTTAGATCGTACCATGTGTCCTCTTCAAATTCTTCATAATTTGGTGCAAACAATTTCCCATTACCCCACTCATAGACGTTGAAAATATGTATTTTATTACACATTTAGACATTTTTTGTTCAAACCCATTATGGAGACTGGTTTTGGGATAGAGTGAAAACAATTCAAATGCTTTGAGGAGAAGAAGTTTCAATGTTTGATGTAGTCCATAATTAAACATCATATTAAATCCGGTTGAAATAAGTATCATGTTCGAAACCCATTAAGAGGGTCGAAATATATATATATATATATATATATTGTCTGCATTGAGTGTATATTGTTTGCATGTTTTCGTAATCTTTGATGCCGGTGATTCAGGGTGATTTGAAGAAGTGCATGCGAGATTTAATGGTGACACTCATAACAGATTCTTTGACTGCAAATGCTGGTATTCTTTCCCCTCGTGCTTCATTATCGCCACCTCCGGGTCATGATCATGAAGATACTTCTGATTCTTCCGATCCTACTGATGATGATTCCTCCGATCCTACTGATGATGATGCTTCTGATGATGATTCTACTGATGATGATGGTTCTTCTTATTCTACTGGTGTTGGTTTTTTTACACTTGAGATGCTTTGGGATTTTTTGTTATTCGTGACATAGTTATGCTGGGTATTATTGACTCTTGTGGTTGATACTATCTGACAAGAAGTTTTGATACCTATCGATTTGGTACTGTATATGACATTTCTAAATGCTAGATGATCATGTACACTTTTTTTTTTATCCGACGAATAGACATACATTTCTACAATATCCACACCGTCTTGTGACGTAATGTCCAACAAAAAAAACAACAAATTTATGTGTTGTTACCATTTGTGGTCTCTATAGGGCTTACAAATTGTATAATAGATTTTGTCGTGTCGCATCTTAATTTTGTTGTGTTAAATTTATCGGTTCATTTCTTATTCTCCATTTATTACCCGTAAAAATAAACAAACCTTGTCGAACTAGTATGAGTGGACCAAATTTGTTAATTTTATTTATTGACTTATTGCATCATAATCATTAAATTTGTTACGGACCCCAAGTAATACTAGGGCCTAGTGTGCTTACAATGAAGTTAGTAACTTATGTCATTAAGTTATATTACTCGATTTGCCTCGGAAATCATGTCAATAAAAAAATTCTAATTTACCCATTTGTTGTCTACGATACTCACTGAATATATATTTTTTATGCACGATACCCATTAATCGTATTATTTTTGTCTACTCTCAATTTAATTTATTTATTAATTTTGTTAATTAATTATATCATTTTTGAATTGTTTTGCATCAGGTTCGTTCGTGTAAATTGGCAGGTTGATACCCCCGGGTCCACTTGGGTTGGTATCGTACTCGTTTAAAGCCAGGCGCCACTCTACCATGAGCTATAGATAACCGTCAGATTTCCCCTAATCAGAAAAATAAGTAATATAAATAGAGTAATACTAGTAGCCGTGCCACGCACTCGTTTCTTGTTTTCTCTGCAACAACAAACATCTTCGTCTCTTCCCAAAGCTACTGAAAAGTGAAAACAGCGTTCAAAGAAGAAGAAAATGGATTATTTTATCCGACTCGCCTCCGACGAAGAATCCCAACACAGGTCAGTTCAACAACTCTTTCAACAAGAATCAGAACACATGGCCGCTGAGGGTTTCTCCCAGAATCAGACTGCCTTCTTTCAAAGAAAGCGAGCCATGTTCTTTATTAGAGAAGTAAGATCATCAGCCATTAAAACTGTAAACAAAAAAAAAAAAAAAAAGATCTGCTTTTATAATTAGTTTTTCACACTAAATTAGAACTTTGGCTTTTTTTTTCTGAACTTGATTAATTGCATCTTGTACTACAGTATTTCGATTTCGATTACGATCCATTGGTACCATTTCTTGCCCTGAGTTACTTCGATCGCTATGTTTCAAGACACCCATTACCGGTAAAACAAGAACAATTTCTGGTTTTTATTTTTTATTTTAGCCTTAGATTAGTTCGGGTTCGTGATTGAGTTTTGATGTTGAATTCTTGAAACTTGATAATCTTGATTTTGTAGGAAGACCCAACGCATGGATATTTGGAGGTATTTGTTATCACCTGCGTTGTGATTTCTTTGCAGATGAGATCAAAAAGGTTTCGGTTGGTTGATTATCTGGTAGAAACTGCAGTGTCACTCTTTCATGTTGTTCATGTCCATTCTTTTTTGAAACAGAAAATCTCTAAGAAAAAACTTTGTTTAACTTGTGAACAGATAATGTACAATATCAACCTTCAGAAGCTCAGGGAAATTCAGAGAATGGAGTTTCTGATTATTTCTGCGTTGGATTGGCGCCTACGATCGATCACACCCTTATGCTTTCTTGGTTTCTTCATTTCATTGTTGAATATCAATGATCAACACTCTGAACAAGTTCTCAAGTTTAAGGCTGAGAAGATTGTGTTTAGAATGCACAGAGGTAATGTAATTAATTAAAGACATTTTTCATTGCATTTAGTTTCATCTTTAGAACAAATAATATTACATTAATCATCGTTTTTTTCTAATCACAGATATCGAATATACACAATTCAAGCCGTCAATAATTGCAGCATCAGCTGTTCTAGCCATAGCAAAGACGATGGCAAGATATTCTGATTTCAAGGAGGCTATTTTGTCCAGCAATTTCGTCAACAGGGTAATGGTTTTATTTTTTCTGGTCATTCACTATTATAGAGAGGGGAATGCAAGAGGAGAACCGAATCTTTAACCTCTAGGTCAACAGTCGAGAGACTCACCCACTAGAGAGGTGCCAACAATTAATGGGATAAAGTGAGATAAAGAGTCGAAATAATTGCGTGTATATTTCACTGTTTGCATGTTTTCGTAATCTTTGATACTGGTGATTCAGGGTGATTTGAAGAATTGCAAGCGAGCTTTAATGGTGACACTCATAACAGATTCTTTGACTGTAACTTCTGCTTTGCTTTCCCCTGATTCTCCATCATCGCCACCTCCGGCTTATTATCATGAAGATACTTCTGATTCTTCTGATTCTTCCGATCTTTTCGATGACGAAGATACTTCTGATCCTTTCGATGATGAAGATACTCCTGATCCTTCCGATCATGAAGATACTCCTGATCCTTCCGATCATGAAGATAATTCTGATTCTTCCGATCATGAAGATACTTCTGATTCTTCTGGTCCTACCAATGATGAAAGATACTTCTGATTCTTCCGGTCGTACCAATGACGAAAGATACTTCTGATTCTTCCGATCCTACTGATGATGAGCAGCAATTTGGCAATGCACCTGATCAGATGCTTTGGGATTTGGTGCAATTTAATGACATAGTTTTGTTGCGTATTATTTGCTCTTGGGGTTGATACAATGTGACAAGAAGTTTTGATACCAATCGATTTGATACTGTATATGACATTTCTAAATGCTAGGTGATCATGTAGAATTTTTTCCCCGGAAAATAGAAATACATTCTACAATATCGAGACCTTCTTGTGGTGTCATGTCGAACAAAAAATCACAAATTTATATGCTATTTAGGAATCAAAAAATGTTATTTAGAATTAATCTGGAGATCTAATTCAATGTAATTATTAGATTAAAAATGAGTTTCATCTAAAATTAATCTAACGTCTGAATTGAATTAAGTCCCCAATTAGGGGCCTATGTGGGACTTATAAATTTGTAATAGATTCCATGGTGTCGTCTCTCCCTTGTCTTGTGTCAAATTGATCAATTCACATTTATAGTGTTATCAATTGGGTTTTTATGTAGAGAGTTCAACAAATAATTGCGTCTCATCCCTTATTCCTTAAATGTAAAAATGAATCACTTTTTTAAACAAATTTTTATGCTATGGTAAATTTTCTTAGGAATCAATCTTAAACAAACTTTGTCGAACTGGCATGCATAGACCTAATTTGTTGACTTAATGTATCATAACGGTTAAATTTGTCACGAGACCCAAATAATACTGGTCCGGTGGTATTCCAATTAAATTAAGTTGTATTTCTCAATTTGCAAAGATCCCACTCTGCTTTGCTTGTGGCTCCACCTGGGTTGGTATCATATTGGATTAAAGCCGTGCCACTCTGCAGTGAGCTATATAACTGTCATAACGAACCCATTAACCGCCTAAATAGACTTGAACCAAGAAAAACTTCTATTTAAGCACACTCTGCCCAACCTAATAATCTATCTGCTTTCGTTTCTTGCGTCTCTACAACTAACAAGCATCAGCTTCTTCCCCTCAGAAAGCTTCTGAACTGCAGACAAAAAAAGAAGAAGAAGAAGAAGAAGAAAATGGCATTTCTCCTTCAAATTGCGTCCGTCAAAAAACCCCAACTCGAGCATGTTCAGCAACTCTTTCAACAAGAATCAGAATACATGGCTGCTGAGGGTTATTCCCAGAATCTCACTGCCTCTCTTCAAAGAAAGCGAGCCACGTTCTTTATTAAACAAGTAAGATCAGCAACAAGTTATGCAAACAAATCTTATGCTTTTAAGAGTATTTCCGCCCCAAAGATCTTTCGAGTTTTGGGTTTCGGGTTTTCCTTAACTTGATTGCTTCTTGTACTACAGTATTGTATTTTTGATTACCATCCATTCGTACCATATCTTGCCATGAGTTACTTCGATCGCTATATTTCAAGATACCCATTATCGGTAAGCCAATGAATTCTTGTGGGTTTCTTGATTTTAGTTAGATTGCTCAGGTTTGTGATTGTGTTTTGATGTTGAATTCTTGAAATTTTGAAACAATTAATCTTTATGTTTTAGGACGAACCAAAAGATGATCAGTTTTTGAAGTTACTTGCTATCTCTTGTGTTATGATTGCTCGGCAAATGAGATCACAAAACTTTCGCTTGCGTGAATTTCTGGTAGAACTTGGCATTCTTCATGTTCGATCATGTCCTTTCTTTTTGCAAAGAAAATGCCTAAAAAAACTTTGTTCAACTTGTGTACAGGAAAGGCACAATCTCAACATTCAAGAGCTTAGGGAAATACAGAGAATGGAGTTTCTGATAATTTCAACTCTGAATTGGCGCCTCCAATCGATCACTGCCTTATGCTTTCTTGATTATTTTATTTCGTTGATGAATATGAATGATCAGTTACATGAAAGAGAAATCAAGTCTCAGGCTCAGAAGATTGTGTTTAGAGTGCACAAAAGTAATGTAACAAAACACATTATTTTTTCATTGCATTTAGTTTTGTCTTAATAACAAATGATAATACATTAATCATCATTCTGTTAATCACAGATATCGAATTTACACAATTCAGGCCTTCAATAATTGCAGCTTCAGCTGTTCTAGCTACATCAAAGACGGTGGCAAGATATTTTGATTTCCATGAGGCTATTTTGTCAAGCCAATTCGTCGATAGGGTAAGGGTTATAGATTCAGTAGCATAGTTTTTTTGCATCAGTCCTTAGTATTTGAATTTGAACTATTGATTCATCATCAATCATAGTCATGATTATTAGCTTCACATTACGCCTCTTGTAAAACATTGGGAACGTGTATTTTGTTACACGTTTGGAGAGTGCGAAACCAAGGCAAATAATTGAGAAGCCAATATGAAAAACTCAACAGCGAGATCTGGGTCACACAGTTGAGATGGTCAAAATGAAATTCTGCCTCTATATTTAGTGTATATTTCACTGTTGGCAAGTTTTTTCATTATGTTTTTGATGCTGTTGATTCAGGATGATTTCACCAATTGCATGCGTGATTTAACGGCGATGTTCATATCAGACTCTGCGATAGCAAACGTTGGTATTCATGGCCCTCCTGCTCCGTTATTGCCACCTCCGGCTGATGATCATAAAGATCTTTCTCTGATTCTTCTGAACCAACTGATGATGATGACCATCAAATTTACATTGGACCTTAGTTCTTGATATTCCTGGAGAAGTACCAATGTGGTGCTATGCATATGATTTGGTCTTTTTTAGGGTTTTCATACAATTAAAAAACAAACTTTGATACCAATTGATTTGATTAGTGTATACAACAGTTCTAAATACTAGATGATCATGTAGATTTTTATTTTTTTTTCATTTTTGAGAAATATGCTTGTTGGTAAAAGTTCAACTCCTCACAATCAGTTGTGGAGTGGGATGAGCTTCTAACCGTTAGGTTATATACTTGTTCTTTAGTTTGATTTTTTGTGACATTAATTAATTACTTTAAAAATATGTATAGGTTTAATTATGAGTACATGTAACTCATAATAAATCATGTCGTATTTTGTTTCGGTTATATCGTGTTAAAATTTATTTAATGTGTATTTAACTCATTTAGAGTGGTGTATATCGAAGAATCGAAGAAATAATCAAGTGTGAGGCATAAGGAAGTGAATGCCGGTCGACACTCACTTTGGGAGTTATAATTTTTGTTCTCCAGTATCGCCTGGGCTGGCCACTGCCAATCAGCATTTGCTTGGACAGGTGGTCGCCAGTCAACACCTACTTGGGCAGGCCCCTGCCGGTTGCCGCTAGTTCGAGGGAGGTCCTTGCCATTCAATACTTGCTACCAGAAGCTTCCAGGGATCAGCTTCTTCCTTGTCACTTAAGTTGCTACTAGCTCTCTCTCTCTCTCACCTTTGATAAGAGACTCCTGTCCAGCTAAGGACCAAACTAGGTCGTAGAGTTCTAGGCAAATACTACTCCAAGTATTAAGGAGCTAGTGATAAGTTTAACCATGCCTCCTGACAAATCCATCTTACTTCAACCTAGGACCTAGCATCCTAGTACGACTCTATTTCGGATATCTAAGGGCTGATTATGAGGTTTATTTTATCGCAACCAAGAGTTCAAGTTCTTTTGAAATTCTACTTTTCATTACTATAAATAAAGGTCTCCGAGTACCAAATATTCAATCATAACATATTCACCACATACTATATTTAACTTGTTTTTTGACTTAAGCATACCTCCAACAATTGTTTCACCAACATATTCTATTCTATTCTCTTGTCTTGCGGGTTACTCAAGATTATAAGACTTCCTCACCGTCCTCTCTGCTCGTATGAAGTGGTGACTCATAGTGTGAAATTATTCTCGCACAATTGATATCGTCTATAAGAAACGACTAAATTTTTTACCAATCAAGAAACCTTGAACCATGTTCGACGAGATAGTCCTCAATCTGCGAACTAGCCGCATGACACTTCTACTATTCCCAATCCTCAAAGATTCCGCTAATTATGACCTAATTATTAGAGGAAGTGCCACTCCGAGATGAACAGGAGCACTCTAAAAACACCCTCCTTCTCATCACAACCTATTTGTCCTCGGTGCAGAAGGCAAGTTAGTGACCGAGATTAATTACCAGGAAACAAGAACGAAGAAGACGGAAGAGTTAGAATGTCTCAAGCAAGGCCTCCTATGCTAGAGTGGCAAGCAACTCGCCAGCCGGAGCTGTGCTTGAGAGAGACAGCGAGAGAGCTGATGGATTTTTAACTCAAATGGGCTGCTTCTATTCCCTCTCCGGCCACCAGTGTGACTGCAATGACTACGACTTTTAGGCTCATACTATCCGTTTGCTCCCAAAACGCCACCGGTTTCCGCACCATTCTATAGATTGTCACTTGTCAAAGACCCATCACATGGCAGAAATGAGACCAATCCCTGTGAGTCATCTTATAGAGCTTAACCACAATATTACTAGTACTACGACTTTCGTTTCTGCAAGATGGCCAAAGGCCACATAAGAAGAGAATCCAAACCGCTTAACCTCTGAAATGTTCATATTTTTTGCAAACTTGTAATCCACAGGCTTGTCTTCTTTCTCTCACTTCTGATAGATTTGCTAACCTGCTTGGTTAGGATGTGCTTGTCCAGTTTCTGGGCTAGACTTGTTCAAAGTCGTAAGATGAAATCCAACCATACAAAACAAACCTATTCCGATTGAACCTCTCTTTTCTCCCAGCCTGAACACCCTTGCCTACAAATTCTTTCTTGAAAAAAGTGATCCCATTCAATCATTATTCCCAATATATGGTTCCATTAAAACTGAAACTTTAACATGCCATTTGAAGGAAATAACAAATTTTAATCCGAGTGCAATTCTTGAAGCAACTGGTATAGATGAAGCAAAATTAAGAAAAGTTTTAAAACCCCCACAAATCAAAGCTGGGGTTTGAAGCTATCCGCTGTTGCTTTTTTTACCAACCTCTGAAACTCAGTTGCCCTCCCACTGTGGTATCTCTCATCTGTTTCAATTGTCGAGTCTCTCAAAAAAGTATAAGTACCCCATGTCTATTGGAGGGTTTTTGGAAACCCCAACCTTTTCATCATTGAAAATGACCCACCTCCCGTCTTTGTAAATGTGAGCAACATAATGACCGCAATGAGTGGAGGTACCAATGTGGCTCACAACACCAATAAGCCGGTATCCTGCGAAATGAGGATAACAGTCTCCATAAGAATGGGTTGGAGGAGCATAAATCATCATGCACCTTGCCATTAACCACCTCAACATTAAAAGTAGCCAAGATACAAAATAGCAGAAGTAGTAGTAAAAATAGGGAGCATTACACCCAGACCACTTGAGGTTTGTCACTTAATCACTCACATCCCTTGATATTTAAAATATAACATACAGACCCTCTGAAGAAGTTTGTACGCAGATAACACTTAGATCCCTACCGTCATATTTGTTAATATATCCGTTAGTAAATTATATTCAAACCCTCTAAAGTTTGTTGGCAGATAATACTTAAACTCCTCAAATTTAAAATGTTATACTTAGACCAAAAATATTTCAATCAAAGATAAAATATCAAATATTTTAAATTTTAAAACCAAAATTAATGTTCTATTGTATCATTTATTGAAATAAAATCAAAAATAAAATTTTCATTTTCTTAAAAAATCGTAATTTAGAATACACAATTATACTATCTATTAGAATAAAACTAAAAAATTAAACAAGGTGTCTAAGTCATTCGTAATAGAACATGAATTTTACGACCAAAATTCATGTTTTATTATGTATTTATTAAAATAAAATCAAAAATAAAAATTTAATCATAATTAGTATACAATTATACTATCTATTGAGATAAAGTTAAAAATTTAAACAATGGGCCATATTGTAATGAACACAATATCTTCTAACTTTAATTGGGGTAATTTGATAGTTTAATTTGATTGTTTAGACGACCAAATTAAATTCCAATACATAGTATAATTATATACAAATTATGATTTTTTAAGAAAACATTATATTTTTATTTTTGATTTTATTTCAATAAATGTCATAATAGAACATGAATTTTAATTGTTAAATTTAAAATATTTAATATTTTATCTTTGATTAAAGTATTTTTAATCTACGTATAATATTTTAAACTTGAAGAATCTAAGTATTGCAAGCCTATAAACTTTAGGGGTCTAGTTTTAATTTACTAACGGATATACTAATAGACATTGATGGCAAGATAAGAGTCTAAATATTACGCGTGTACAAATCTTAGGGAGTCCATATATAATATTTCAAATGACAAACCTTAGGTCTCGGTGTAATTCTCCCAAAATAGTAATAGCAGTAGAAGAGCCTTTCTCAAGTTTACAAAGAAAAGTAGAAAGGTGTAAGGAAACTAACTTCCTCCTCCATCAGGTAGTGGAGCATCATTAACAGGTGCAGTGCTTGATGTAGCATCCATATCTGATGAACCAGAAGCAACAGGATTAAATATCCAATCTGTTGCTTTCCCAATATCACCACCCTGTAAAGAAATTACCAAAGATATCAGTAAGAAAGTCCAGAATTCCAGAGAACCAATATATGCTTTTCCCACTGCCACAAAACTCAGAACTCGATATGAGATTCTTACTGAGGCCTTCAGTGCCTTCCGAGCAATTTCTTCTTCAAAACCAAAGGAAACCAAAGTATCAACTTTTGATTGATCGACATATGATGACAAGACCTCGGTACTTTGAGCCTCTTTGGAAATGGGAGCATCAATATCTGGAGAAAGAAAATGTTCATCAATATCTTCTGGAGTCAATTAAAATGCAAGAAGCAAACATAACTAGGAAAAAAAACTTTTGCCAAGATAAACTTGTCTCATAATACCTGGATCATCCATGTGAGAAAGTAACCAATTCATTGCCTCCTCAACTCCAGCATTTGTGGTGTTGATAGCAGCCTTTTGACAATGAAGACAGTTAAAACCCATTGATACAAGTTGGGAAACTATAACCTCATCAGCCAAAAGCTGTTTCGATTCGACCTCACCCCCAGCAGCTGCAAGGAATAAATAATATGCCAGGTAAACCACAAATCATTTTCTTGCAGGGTAAGCATACCAAACAAACAAAACAACAGCCTAATAATTGTAGCACACGTTTTATGTACTGCTGATAGATTCCCATCACTGATTTCTGACATTACACAAAATTATACTTTAAAGATGGATAAAACCAGAAACTACAACTTACCCAAAAAAAACAGAAACTGCAGCATAGAAATTATAATTAAGCATCAAACGATTATGATGCTAATATGCTAACATCGGAAATGACTCCACCAACCAGGTATAAAACCATTAATATTCTAAGGCCACTTCACCTAGAAACGCTACTAAAATAACTGCCAAGATACCTAAGGATTAATGATCAGTCAACAACGACCTCTGTCTAATTATGCCGTATACAATTATTTCCACATTTATATCACTAAAACAAGTTTCTTACAGGCTAGGAAGAACAGATATGGATATGGAATACAATTATGACATGATACGGATACGACGATGTTGGAAAAATCTAAAAAAATTGGATACGGATACAACTAGAATACGTCAATAAAAAATATATCTGATATTTGTACTAATATCTAACGACTTGATAGTTATATTTTTTAGCAATTCTCTAACAATAATACGCAAAATTATCAATTTTTACTTTCAAAAAGGTATATATTGTCTCATAGAATATTCACAAAGTGAACGTGACTAATTAAACAAATAAAAATCCATATTTAACTAGAAGTATTTGTTGCAAATATTATAGGGTTATTAACTCATCTATACTCTCTTGACATGTGATAATGGATAATACTTAAAAAAAAAAAAAAAAACCAAGAGTCTTCAAAATCATGTGAATTTTTATTGATGCACATTGTATGTATATTCAAAAGGAATGGGCAAAGATTAAAATTAAAACTAACACATAATGCTCCGCATATAGAAGTATCTACAAAGAGATTTTGCATAAATAAGTAAATAGGCCTCTTCTGGGCAAGCCAATGAAAAATTTAAAAGGATTGACAGTATCACTTACCAACTTCAGGTAAGAGCTCCTCCCCTGGTTGAAGACCCTTGCTCCGCATGTTACTAATGTCTATGATCTCAGGAACATCTACATAAACATCTAAACAGCCAACCAACAAGAACGAGAACAACCAATCATCATACTTTTTCAAATAAAATTCCTTTGCAAAGAACTAAATCCACATATAAATATACCAAGCTTTTTAGGCACCCAGCCTTCCTCCATGACAAATTTTCGCATATGCAACACCAGATAATCAGGAAACGAAGTCAGACCTGCAGTTCTGCAGAGAACCCACCAAAAAATTATCAAATGCATGAAAGGAATGAACAGCCAAACATTCTAATAATGGGCCTCTAAATATTTTATGATAATCACGAAATTCTCAGAGGTATTATGTGTTTTACAACAGTTTTTGAGTTCTAATTCTATAAGCTATTAATCAAGCAATACTAGTTCCTGAGCAAACATTTAATGATCAGCCCTAGCTTGTAGCAATGATACAAAAACTTGCAAGCAGAAATCGACCACATGATGATCTGGATGCCTGCCTGCCACAAGAAGCAAAGATCACAGGTCCCATCATGATTAAGCTCATTGAAAGAATAAAAAATATAATTACTTGATTGCCACTGTCTTAGCCTTCAAGGCAGTGCTGTAAAAATCATGGACGTCCTCTGGAGCTGAAAAGCTTTCGAGGCACTCCTTTAAAGGCACCCTTGGGCGAACAATTTCTTCAGCCGATCTGGTAGAACACAATATGTTTTTGAAAAAAGTATTGGAGTGAAAGAAAGCATTTGAACAAGCTCATTTGAACTCACATTTCCTTCCCTTCTGCCTTCTTTTCTGCCTTCAATTTGTGGAAGTCTTCTACCTCTTCTGAATTTTCAATCCAGGATAACATTAGAAGTAAAAAAAAATCTCTCTTCAGAATTTTCAACCAATGAATTGTAAAAAACTAGCAAGGGCATAAACTTACTTTTGTTAGTAGCCTTATGTAGTGGGATATTCAAAGAAAGAATATAGTCGTGTCTTCTATTGTAAGCAACCTTCCGAGAAGGACATTCAAGACGCTCCTCAATGCCAAATTTGAAACTTCTTGTCGGATCGAATTTAGGGTTCCCGGAATTGATTCGTTCAGCTTGGTCGATAAAATGCAGGAAGAACTCTAATGCATCCTAGACATAACTTGGCATCAATCATCAACTAAAAATAATGTAGAACAGTAATAAAAAGAGCAGTAGCAATAGCCAAAAAACAAAAGGCTTAAACAAGCAAACAAAAGATAAACCAGTCTCCAACGGGAATAAAAGAGTTGAACAGGTGGGCAGACCACATCCAGGTCCTCCACCCACATAAAGCCATAGGCAACAATTGCAAGGCACTCAACCTGTCAGTTGGAGCACCACTGAACGATTGTAATACTGAACTAACAGACAGTTCAAAAACACCACAAGAACTAAACGACAAGCCAAAATTTTTGTTTCTGCAAACACGTTTTTAAGAATATAAGACACTAGCATACACTTTGCTTGGGAGATGCTGAATGTTTTGTAGTAATTCAAAAAACATGAGGTTGCATCATATCAGAATTAACTTGATCAGTTTATTGATCGACCATCTGATATGTAAAATATGTTTCATGTTAACAGAATATAACCATCCAATGCCAGTTAAATGAAAACTTGGATACCTGCCCTATGGGGTGATTGCGGGGCTCAAGCCACCTCGGGGGCCAGTTGGTGTGGTAAGACTTAGGGAGTACCCAAAAAAAATAGTTGTCACATGACAAAGTGGAGTATACCTGTTGTCTCATAGTCGAAAATTCAGGATGGCTGGCAGCAATCAACGACTTGAACATACGCGGTGGTATACCCTCCTGTTCCTCAGAGGAAACCGACAAAGAAAAGTTAAAGACTTTCACCAACAAGTAACTAAGTGAATGTGAGAATAACCAACAAGACCAGCTTCTAATTGACATAATAGACTAGTTTCTTTCTTTCTTTCTTTCTTCTTCTTCTTCTTCTTTTTATGTTTTGTTGAAAATGACATGATAGACTCGTTGAAACTTCGATTAATTGGAACTTAATAAAAATACAAGAACCAATAAAAAAAAAAATTGCTGAACAGAGAATAGACAGCGACATGCAAACGGGTTACAAAAAATTTGATAAACAAAAAGAAAAAGAATGGCTAAGTTTGTATCAGAGATACCAAAAAATTCATCTCGGAAAAATCAAAGCTTAGGTAAGATTTAAAGGATACAAACTCCAGAATTAAGCATTCATATGGTAGATCACATGCACTAGTAAAAAGTGCCAATCACAAACAGACATAGAAAAATGAGCCAGAGAGCTTACAACAATTGGAGTTGAATTTGCAGCATTTATGGTATCTTCTTTCTGGGTGACAAAATAATACAAGTTACGCGGTGTGAAGAAAAGTTTAAATGCACGAAGAGTCCTAGTTTAGTGCACAATACATACCTGTATAACTGGAACCGAATATTTACCAGAAAGCAAACCATGAGCAAGTTTTGTTCTGCCACATAAATGGAATGTATAAACAAATATCTGAGTCTTGCAGAACTAACTAATTATGCATAATTACTTCTAGCCCCCCCCCCCCCCCCCCCAAAACCCCAAAAAATAAATAAACCATTCTTTATAAATCAACCAGATCCTAGGTGATACTGAGTCACAACTAACAGATAATACAGGAAAAGTACGGGACGTAAGGAATTTGGATGCTAGACGTTCTTAGGATAAGACGGCATACAAGAAACAAATATTGCATCCATTATGAGAATCTAATGCAACATGATCATAGCTACAGCAGCTGATGCTATACAAGAGCACTTACACCTCATCAATAATCTCCATAAGGGACTGACTTTCTCCCTTTCTTAGCCAGATAGAAGAAAAACTTCAGTTACATTGATGCTTATCAGATCAAGAAGTACTAATCTCAAAATAATACCTCTCGGTGCAATGTTATAAAAACATCATCACCAAGGGACAAATTTCCCCAAAAATGGTTTTAGTAATCAAATAACACAATCCAGATCACTCAAATCTCAAGCAGAACCAGTAACATGGTTCTGGATTTTCTTTCCCAGCATACTAGTCACTAGAGGCATCATCTATGATCCAACTCTACTAATAATTCTTGATCAACAAGAACCCATCAAAATAACTCGCGGAAAAAGAAGAGACTATAAGTTTTTAAATCGAACAAATCAACTGGTTACTTACAACTGCATATTCAGGTCTACGGTTGGATCAGCAGGAGCAGTGTCAAAAGCAAGTTTCAAGCTTTGGTTCATGTAATATCTGATGGAAAAATCACAACAGTTAATCAATTATAAGATGCAGATACTTTAAACAGATAAGCCTAGTTACTTTCCTGGTCAAAAGTTGTTTGCTATTTTCCATTAACAAAGAATCATAATACTAACCGTGAACAGAAGGCACGTGTTGAGAACGCAACTTGCATAGTTGCAGCCAGGTAGCAACTGTAAGAAAACATAATGAGGAATCACAAACGAAAAGATATGACTACAGCACCACTTGAAGGAACAACTTTACCTGTTGCCAAGATTGACAAGTCCCGTGTAACCTGGTCCAAATAGCGGTTCAACTTCCTGCCCACTTTCTTGAATCCGATTCCAGTCAAAATTGGTGTTTTGATCAAGTTCCCTTTCTGCAGTTGTCATTTCAGTCTGAAAATTATCGTAGTAACACACCAATGTCAATTTTAACCTAACATAGAAGGATATATGTTTCTCATGCAAAAACAATAAAATCACTTAGAAAGAAACACGTGTATACAGTAATATTTTTTACAAGAAATTGAGTAGTGAGATATTTAACATAGTTGACTGAGAGATTTATTAAAATTTTTCCCCCCTCAATAGAAATCAAAATGTAGTTGCAGTTGTGAGATATTTAACATCTTGACTGAGAGATTTATTAAAATTTTGCCCCCCTCAACAGAGATCAAAGTGTAGTTGCAGTTTTGTCTATTTGAAGGAGAAGACAAAATAGGATTCAGATAAAGAAAAAAGGGTCATTGGATGAGAAATGATCGAGGGCTTCGTTTATTTGGGATCAAACCAAAAAAGGAAAAGTAACATATAGGAAAGGACAACAATTTTACTGTGGATAGTGAAAATTTAAATAAAACAATTTTTGTAAGTATTTTTTTTTTCAGTGTATCGAATACATATCGCGTATCATAACATACGGTAAAAAAATAACAAGACTCTTAGATATGTATCATTGGAATAATGTATCCAGACGGATTGTATGATGTGTAATGTGTATCTTAAGATATTGACAACCATGGTATATATACATATACCTAATAGTCAATACATGTTGGGTTCACATATCTCACTTCTTTCATAAACATGTGAGAGTACATCACCATAAGGCATTTTCTACAGCCCTATGTACAAGATTGGGGCTCTAACTTTTAAACTGGAATCCAATAAAATCACGATCTAATATAACACTTAAAAGCTTCAGACAAGTAGGTGAATCAAAAAGAACTTAATTCATGCAATCAGAAGCCATTTAAGCAGTTAGCCTTAAGATAAGCAGCTTGTTTTGAAGCTTATTCATCCTCCTATTACCATCGAAGAGCAATAAAATGCATGTCCAGACAAATGCTTAACAACAAATCCAGAATTGAATAACTAACCTTTTGTAAGGATGAAAAATCAATGCCAAAGAATGCCAGATGTTGTGCTAAAAGTGGGTCCACGACACTTTCATCTTCCGGATAAGAGAAAACATCTGAGCTGCCAAAATTTGTAACTCATAATTATGTCTGAATTAAGGAAGATGAAGATCAAGTGCAACATCCATGTATTGTTATACATCCACCACTTTTAAAATAAGTACTTCCCCAACTTCAGGTACATGTTTCATTAGCAACATATAAAAGCTCAAATATAGTGTAAGAACTAAATTAGACACTTTTTGTGTGCATTGGTGATAGACAAGGATCATTTTAAAACAGAGATGGTAAATATATGATAGTTATCCCAATATTCTCATGTTTATACAGATCTTCCTTTTTATTTCTTTGGCTTTATGCTCATTCTCTACACAATGTTAAGATCCAATAATGTGTGTAGAACTTTAATAGGAAAATAAGATCACTTCAGGTTTGCAGATCTACTTCAAAGTGGACTTTCCATCTCACTTTCAAGTAATATTTTTATTCTCAATTGTCATTCTTTATAATGAATTTTTTATATATTTCTGCTAAATGTCCGCCTGAACTGCATAGCAATACACCAAGGTTGATTCACTCTATAGATTATTGCATATTTTTGTACTCAGTGAATATAATGGAAATATCAATCCTTTCTTTTATTTTCTATTTTTGGTGTTGTGGCTTCTAAATTCACCTATACACTTAGTTTCCCTTTCTAAATTTGAAAACCCCCAAATTCATCAGTTAGCCATATAAGCAACTGGCAATTCTTATGGATTGACTCCAATCATTTGTTGTCACCCTTTCAGTTTTGCTCAACGGTCTCTTATTATAAGGAAAATTCATTCCTCTAGCAAACTAATTGGAAACCTGCAACATCCACGTCCAGAAGCCACTAAAGGATCATTATTCAACCATTCTCTTTTATTCCCAAAGCAAGCTCTCATCTGACATCAAGTGCATTCTACTGAAAACATGGTCTCTGGAGCAGGCATCAATCTCACAACCAACGGGCATGTTCAAATAATGGACACACAAACCTACTTTTCATGGACAAATATGGCCCTAAGTCAAATTGGCAATAATCCCCTTCATTTTAGACTAATATGTCGATACCTTCTCATTGGCGAGCAGCAAATCATTACTTTTATACAATCAAAAACTTCCTTCCCTTTTTAAATTTATCGCCAATAATTTTTTAAGCAGGCAAACAAGTTTACAATCTTTGAATGTTAGTGCAATTCAAGAGAATTAATATAAAAAAATAATCCTCACATCATATCATGAATTACACCTGCTGGCGTCTAGCAGTGACTATAAGCATTCATTAAAATTTGCTTAGTTCCCATGATAGACAGCTTTACAAGTAGTAGCAAATGCACAATGAACAATAAGCAGCAACAGTAATAATCAAAGCAACCCCTTGAAGAAACAAGGTGCATTTACCTGCTCCCTCCAGATCAGCCGTTATGGTCCCAAGCTTTACAGCAAGAGGGTAGCCAGTTTCTTTGAAATGGTCAATCGCATGGTTGTTACCACCACTGCCATCCCAATTTCTCCTTCCACAAAGGATCACTCCATTGGTTAAATTTAACCAAAGGTTATCAGTCTTGTCACACCGAGCACATCTCCATCCCGACGGAGGGATAATAACACCATTGTCAATCTGTTGCAAATCCATCGCATATTTACTAATTTGATTCTTATCAGCAGTCCACAATGCAACTTGTTCTTTCCGCTCAGCACCCTCAGCCAGCAAAATAGCATCAACTGCCAGCCTAACCTGCATATTAGATTAGAAATGGCATCATCATATAAAATCAGACAAAATAGGGCTACATGTTTTTTGGAAGCATTCTCAGGTACGCAAATATGCAAAAGAACCTAAAAAGGGGGCAGGGGGCACCTTCTCTGGCAACTCCACCGATGGAAAAGGAAGAGTTACATAATTTGGCAATATGACTATATTGTAGGTTTCTTCATATTCAGTTTCATTGTTGTCGAAGCCTCCATTGACACCTACAAATAACACCATGTGAATCTAGTTCTGTATGCCAGGTTAATTGTGATAAAAGAATCGAACATTTGTAACTTGTAAATAGTACACCGTAATTTTCCCTCCAATAAAATGGAATACCAAATATCAAGATAAACATTACAATACAAGAGCAAAATGTCCATCCAGAATACTAAACCATACAGGAATTACATGTTAATAAAATATAATAAGACAGCAATTGTTGAAAAATGGCACATATATTCCTATTCAGTAGGTACTAAAACCTGCATGTAGAGCTAGTCTATCAGTGAATTCCACAAACATAGCACATACACTCGCTGGTTGGATATTGGGGGAATGCAGTTCACCATTTCAATTGCTATAAAACCACTGTATTTCTCCATCTTGTTAATAATTTTTTGACATCATGACATTGTTGAATCTGAATCTAATTCCAAGCATATGCCTACTGGATGAATAGTGTTCAATATCACTCAATAAATAATTCAAAATCAACTGCTAGGCATCCAATAAAAAAATAAATTTCAAAACCACAGTGATGACTGTGAAATTCAGATAAATTCAATGAGTACAAACATATACTACACACAGAAACTTAAATACCTATGGCCAAGAGAGTCGGTTTCTTCAAAGGTCTATCTTCAGGAACTGGCTTCTTTATCTGCTTTATATGCAAGTAAACTGGGTTTCCAGTCTTCTCAAAGTTCCATCCCACACAATCCTTCCCAAACGCAAGAAATGTATTCATATCGATAAACAGTCCAGCTTCAGATTTCTGGGAAGACACCATATATTAACACTATCAGAGCACATGAAGATTCAGAGAATATATAGCTTGAAAAAAAAATCACCAATGTAGATGGTTCATAAAATGCATCACGAAAGGAGAAAATCACCATTATTGCACCAAGCAATTCAATTATTTTTATAATTGCCCGATTATCCAAACAAACTGTACGAGAAACATATCCTATCAAACATAAAACACGGAGCTCCGATTCAGCTAACATAAGCCCTAAGTTGCGTAATTCCAAAAATATTAAGTGCATCTATGTTGATTACAAAGCAAACTCGTTGAAATAATAACAATCTCAAACGAACACAAAACATCAAATTACAATTCTATGGTATAAAATAAGCCAAAACCGTTTGAAGTTGACTCTTACATTTTTCACGCACTTTCGCAGTAACCAAACACTCATACTAAATTTAAACAAAAAAAAAAAAATCACCGGAGTGTCGAAGGTGATGCAGCATTCCTGCTTGTAGATGCGATTAGTGGGCTCTGGAATGCGAACACGAGAAAGGTTCGATCGGAGAAGTTCCATTAGATTCCGAGATCCCAATCTTCAAATCGTCGAGTTTTGGAGTGTCTAGAACAGAGACAAAATGACCACTAAGTGAAGCAATTGGTGACGAAGAAGCGTATACGACTGTCTATATTCTTTGCCCTAATGTTTGGCAAGAAGACTTTGCGGCCGAAAGAGAAACCTGCGCTTCTCTATAAAGCACGTATTCTGTACTTTTCAAAAATAAGTCCCTTCTCTCTCACCAAGGATCAACGCCCTAGTGCCCCACCTGAATAAAATAAGAAATAAGAAATAAAAAATAAAAAATTGATTAATTGTGTTTAATTTGTGCCTACTATAAATAAATTATATTATATTTTTTTAATTAATTTCACCAATTCGTTTATTAATTTTATCGTTTATTAATTTTATCATGTCAAATTCCCTTAATTATGAAACCAGTATTAAGAAAAATTAACCCTCTAATTTTATGTTATTTGTATCAAATTATGCGAGTCTTGTCGTAGCATGACACCCTTAGACTATCCTCAATTTTCAAACACTGTTGGTAGGGCTATGTGGTGTATATCACCTGAAAAATATTATATATTCTCAATTAATTGTTATTATTTATTTATTTAAAAAAATTAAAATAATCATACTTTTTTTTTAACTTATATTGTATCATCTATGTATAGTAATAAGATTATGCATTTGTGAGGGGTAGGTGTCGTCATTTCTTTTTTGGTATATTTGTATTTGATATTCAGACAAATGATGATGATGGATTTAAGTCTAGATTAGGATTGTTCATCAAACTGAGTTACTCGAGTTAGACTTGAGTTTGGTTCGGATTTGACTCATTCAGGCTCGGTTCGTTTTTTAAACGAGCTCGAACTTGAACAAATTTTTAAACTCGTTTAAAAAACAAGTCCTACAAGTTCGGCTCAAACTCGACAGACTTGACTCGTTTATGAGCAAATATTTTGGCTCGACTCGGACTCGACTTATTTTTAGCTCGTTCAGGCTTGACTCGTTTCTTAAACCAGCCGAATTTGAATAATTTTTTAAACTCGATTAAGAAACAAGGTTTTCAAACTTGATTAAGAAACAAGTTTTTCAAGTTCGACTAAAAATCCTAATGTAAGCTCACTCTTGAGCCCAAAGACTCTAATGGGCTCATTAAAGACAAATCAAGCAGCCCTTCTAGATGACATCTTCCATATCAAGGTTAGACCGAAGCCTCACTCCATGGAAAACCCAAGATCATCCGGTCCAGACCCATGCCCAAGTTAGGGCCCAACGAGCTTGGTGATAAGTGTTTGCTTAGGAGTTTGAGCTCGATACCAAGCAAATTTGATATAACCTTGATTGTGCCATGTGGATTGAGGACATGCCTGACAATTCTAACGAATAAATATTTATTCCGTTTCAAGAATAATGGGAGCAAAAAACGTCAGGTTGACAAGCCCTGCTATAGGACAAATGATTAGGGGACTACAAAATTAACCAAAAAATGAAAAATTATAGAAACTCTAGTACCAAAGGGTATAAATAGGGGTAGTCACAGTAAAGAGAGAGAACACCATAGATAACTTAAGAAATACTTTATAAACGGCTCTTATCCAAACCTTATGTAATCACTATCTTCTTCTTTAAATAATATATTGAACACTCCCCCACCCATAAACACACACAAAGTCTCTACTCGGCCTCAACTCATCACGGTTCTATAATTGGGTAAACGGATCTTGAGCACCATCAACAAATATAGAGAAAGAATTGTAGCTTGGAGAGAGAGAGAGAGGAGGAACTGTATAAGCTTAGCATAGTATACAATTGTTATAAGATTGTTGAAACTTGCTTAATTATGTTTGGTTTGAGGTGAAAAGAAACATAAATTAAAAAAGAGGAAATTATATTTTCTTTTGCATATTAATAGTAAAAGTGATATTATTTGAACTTAATTTATTAATTTTATTTTTTGCCTAATTTATTGTCATTCAATTTATAGTGAATCCAAAATTTATTAATTTTATTTTTGCCTAATTTATTGTCATTCAATTTATAGTGAATCCAAATTAATTAATTAGTTCAACAATCCAAGGATAAATATAAATTAGTTCAATTATTTAAGTTAATAAATTTGGATAAATAGGATTATTATAATTGATAAATTGCATTATTAGGTAATGACAGTGATAGGCCCAAGGGGGGGAAAAAACATGGACCAAAGGATGTTGCCAAGGATCTCAACTTGTCTATTCCTTTTTTTTCATCTCAATTTTTCTTTACCTTCATCTCTCATATTTTCTGCTTTGCATCAAATTCAAGTCTCGCAAAAATCAAAAGGATTTTTTGGAGATGGCAATTATTGTCTCGTCTTCTTCATCAGCTTCTCTTGTTTTTTTTGTCATACAGTATTCATATCTATGCCCAAAATAAAAAGATTTGGAGTTAATATTAAGTTTTAGGAGTGAAAATTGAAGAAAATCGGCCCAAAATAGTTATGTGGGTTATTTTTCACTCAGGTTTGTGGTTTGAGATACGAGGTAGTATGCAATATGTTTTTGTCTTTCACTCTCTTTGCAAAGAGTATTCTTTTGATCATTTAAATTCTGTATTTTAATTGATTATTGTCCGTTGATAAGAATTTTTAAATCTTTTGTTGAACTAATCTATATTTTGGGTTAAATACTTTGAAATTGATTGATATATGTACAAAGTATACTTAAGGCATAGTTTGTGAAATGTGATTATGTGCGGGTTGCGATTGTGATTATAGTCCTGCAGAGTGTGATTATTTAGTTCGAGTATGAATTTATATGTCCAAGTGTCACTTGTCATATCCCCAAGATGAATCGAGTATAAAATTATATTTGATAACAAGTAAGTTATGGATATTTTTAATTTGATTGATGATTTTGTTATTCATATTTCGTATCATTTGAATTATTTGGTGTTTGATCATTCGTATTTTTGTATTGTTAATCATATTATTTTTTGTCATATTGTATATTTCTCCGCTTTTAACATTTTTTAGGATAATCTAGAAGGAAAGGACCAGAGTTGGTTTTTGAGGAATCAGAGATGAACGAATCTCGATATAATTTTTATTCAAATTGAAATTATAAGTTTTATTGGTCTTTGAAAATTAAATTTATAATTATAAATTTGGGCTTTTTAGTACTTTATACCCTAAAAGATATCTCGATTCCCATTTTCTATCCTGAAAGATTATTTTTTCCACATTTCACCATAAATGTAATAAATTGGTTTTAATATGGCTCTCAGACTATATCTGTTTTAAGTTTCATTAAAAATCGATGCACAAGTCATCCCTTGTGTTGCTTTTGGGTAAAAATATAAACTCTCACAATTCATATCTTTGATTGGCATGTGTATTAATTTTTAATAGAATTTGAAACAAATGTTAGTATAAAGGCCACATTAAAACTAATTTATGGCATTCAGGATGCAATGTGCAAAAAAATAATCTTTAGGGGTACAAAATGAGAATTGAAACATATTTCGGGATGTCAAGTGCAAAAAACCCTATAAATTTTACTAAGATAATTAGAACTTTGACCCTTTATTCAGAGATATATTTGTAGTATTTTCATTATTTTGTGGTATATTATGTTTGATATTAATTATTTAACACGTCCGAGAAACCGTCGTTACATAATAGAATCACCACCCATCGTTACAACCTACAATCACGCAACAACCGTTACATTGTATTGAAGGTCATTACATTGTATCAAGGGGTGTGCCCTTGGTGTTGGAGAACAATGATAAAATGCGACAGATACGTGGATACATTTGTAGCATGTAGTCATGCACAATCTAATGTTTTACTGATCCTATTCCAAATAAAGTGCATGGATATATCGTAAACTGGAATTAATATTCAGGGCTCAAGACCACATCGTTAGAGACCATGCTGTGGAAATACCCACATTGCAATACGTAGAACTATTGTATCGAATAAATATTTTTCGATATTATGTCAAAAAATTGTGTTCGACATGCAATTCAATTTGAGTTATTTGTAATCATTATAGAATAAGGCGGAATAGCAAATTAAAAGAATTACACTTTTTACGCTCTTTATCATATAATGAACATTAAAGAAGGCAAACTAAAAATAATCAGCGAGAACACACCGAAATCGCTATTTAAATTATAAAACGTCGTAAATAATTGATCGCTACAAAAAAAAAACACAAATACAATCCCCTTTCCTAAGATTTAACCTTCCTCCAATCAAAATGGAACTTGCATATAAGCCGCATCACAGAAGAATGGGATATCAGCATACATCCCACCAAGAGCACATCTCATGCACTCCATAATCAGAAACATATAAATAAATGCAAGACCAACCCAAATATGCATACCAATTCTACTCCAAAACATGGCAAGGGGCATGGTTTGGCATACACATACTACAATATGCAAAGCCATCTGCAGTAGCGTTGCCATCAGTATGTGGAACCTGAAGAAGTGCGGCCATTCCTTTCTCCTCACCACACCAAGCTGCAAAAAAGTGAGATATGCAATCTCGAGCCATCCGGGCATTTTCCACAATGTAGCCTGTAAGAAGGGCAATGCCAAGTGTTCGACGTTTTCCAAGAAAGGGTGAAGATGAAATGCTGGCTCTGAAAATGCCCATGTCAAACAAAGGGGGGTTAGATAAGGAAGGCATGATATAGTCCTCCACCACCATCGTGGTTTCTCGGTCATTGGGGGTGGCCGGTCACTGTAGAGTGCCCTGGGGGACACAAAAGATTGTTGTTGCTTGGGTGACAAGGGGATTGCACAAGACAATCCACCTTTTACTGAAATTGAGGAGGATGCAGCAGCAAGTCCCAGATGTGGCATTCCTGCCATAGACTAACAAAACATGATGTATAAAAAAGGAAATAGAAACAGTAAATACAATCTTTAAGATGCTCCCAAGTATTTTCGTCTAGTTTTAGTTTAAAAAGAAAAGATGTGCATAGGCTCATTAAGCAAATACACAAAGTCATGTTTTGCTTCCTTTGACAAAAAGATTTAAGATGATTCATTGTATATGCTCAAGCATATGTTGTCGCATTTGTATTTATGCACACATATACTAAACGGTCTACATTATAAATGCTGGTCGCAATTCAAATTTCCAACCTGGCCAAAATTTTCATCTAGAACACCACCAACAATGGGAGGGATAAAGTTTTCTTGGTTCAGATTCTAGCTATAGTTCATGGTTGATGTAAAATAAATAAGACATGCAATTGAATCAAATAATGCGTTGCTAAAGCTCCGATGTTGTGGAATTGGATTTTAATATCTTTCAATGCTCAGAAACCATCTTCCAGGTAAATAATTCCTCTCTTTTTTTTTTGGCTATGGTCTGACAAGTAAATAATTCAGACGTACAAAAACCAACTCAAGAATATGTATACCATTGGAAGAACAGGGCAGCTTCCGACAAGGACCCAATGAACTCTTGATGCCTGGAAATGTAACCTTAGTAGGGAATTGAGAGATGCGTTTGGAGGCTGGATTGTATATCTTCAAGTTGGGAGGCTTATAAATCATACAAGCACCACCAGCTATCGGGGAACAACAACCTACAGCCATATCTAGTTACCCTGTTGTGTACCTGCAGCACTTACAGAGCATCCAATTTTGAGAGCATGGGGTAAGCAAAATAAACATAATCAGATGAATAGAGAATTCTTTTAACATCTGCTTTTAGGGTTATAATTTTGTATTTTATGTAACAGAACTAATATTATTGAACATGGTCCAAGAAATTAATTAATACCTCCTTCTATCAGCTACCACACTCAGATAGTTCAAATCATAATATTTTCAAACAACCTGTCAATCATTCTAAACAGTGATGACTTAACAAAAAAAAAATCAATAGCAGCTTCTTTAAGTGTAACCCACAAAACGTGGGGTACACATATTACCTCTTGATCGCGGAGGAATGGATCGATTTAGCTTCCTTTAAGCGAACTGATGGTGTTTCCTATAGATATATGAAAGAAGATAGAGAGTGTGATGGATTTTAGATGTTTTTGCCTATTTCGATTAATTCATGCTTGAATATATATAGGTTTATAGTTCTGATTCATTGACAATTCAAACTAATGGGATTTTATCTTTATTGATCATGTGGTGACAGGAGTGAAGACTGAAAGAGTATAAATTCATTAGAACATTTATAACCACATTGACACTTAGTTGGATCATGTCTAACCCAACTTCTAAAACTACAAACTTATTGGCTTTGCACTAAAAGCCAACGCCATGCGTTATTGCCTATCAATGGGAAATTTAAAACTCTCCTTATAGTATCTCCGAATTGGTGGTGAGGATATTAGCATCATAGCATGGACCACCACCAGGTTCATTCAAATAAACATGGAATTAAACAATCAAGAAGAATCCAAACATCTTATAATGAAAGGATCAGTAAAGACTAACTGACAACAATAAAAAATTAAAAATAAATCTGTCTGACCTCAATAACCAACCTGCAAGTTTTTTTTATATATTTTTTATTACAAAAGGAAAAATAACCAAGATTAGCCAGTAATTTGAAATTGTAAAGCATAATAAAAAAAATTAAATTTGGACTCTAATTAAGATACTCTTTCATCACAAGTTTATGCAGAAAATTCAGTCAATTTTTGCATATACACAATCTGGAGAATACTGGGATTAGAAAAACCAAACGGTGCATACATCAGAATCTGGAGAACTATTGAATCATATTCATAAATAGCACAGGAAAACAATCAACAGAGTAGTTCTTCCAAACTGATTTTCTTTCGGAGAGTAATTCCTAATTGATGAATGCAAATTAAAACACAATCACAAGCAATTACCTCAATTTGTGTATTTAGTATGTGTTAACTCGTTCAAACGCTCTGCAAAATGTATAGGATGATAGGGATAGAAGGGAGAGTAGGGTTTATGGTTGCAGGCTGTATCGCGCGGGACGTGGAAGCTTCGAGCATCTTGACGTTTTTTTTTTTTTTTACCAGTTAGCATCTTGAGGTGGAAGACCTAAAGTTTAGGTAATTAATTAGACCTAATGAAGGGGCTTTCTTGGGACCGAAGAAAGTGCTTTTTTGAGGTGCTAATTTAAAATAGGCGAACGGCATTTTGTCCCCCAAAAATTTTAAGTTTCTCATTTTATACTTTTAAAAATTAATTTTTTATATTACATACACACTGAATCAAAAATATTATATTGTAACCTTTCTATTAACTTTCTATTTGTTTTTTTGTCGGTGTCAATAGGTTGACTTTTGACAAAAAAATAATAAAAGTTAAAAAAGAATCACATTGCAACACTTTTAATACATTAAAAATGTAATATAAAAAATTTAAAATTTTTTTCACAGTTTGCACCCTAAAAGATTTCAAATTTGTCACTTTGAATCCTCAAAAATTAATTTTTTTATATTACATCTTCAATGTATTAAAAGTGTGACAATGTGATCCTTCTATAAAATTTTGTTATTTTTTTCATCTGTGTGAATACAGAGGTTTTTGACGAAAACTAATAAAATGGGTACATTATTATATTTTTAATACATTAAGAGTGTAATATGAAAAAATTTATCTTTGAGGGTACAAAATATGAATAGTTAAATTTTCTTGGCATAAAGTAAAAAATTCACTCTATCGATACAAATTTGAGTGTAATCTAGCTCCACCGTAGTCACTCATGCAAGAGATAATAATAACATTTTTTTTCTACAAAATTCATTTTTATCGTAATTCATAGTTCCACAATTTTAACATAAAAGAATGATTAAAGCAAAACTTGCAAGAGATTGTAAAAAAAATCATGTGCACAATATTTAAAATCTAGAGTTTTAATCAAGAACATATGATTTTTGGATGTAAAACATTTATTTTGATGTAAATCATGTGTTCATTCAAGAATTTAAGTATATACTAAAAATAAATATAAAATGTTAAAGATCTATCGCACACATAGGATTGTAAATCAAGAACGAATGAATCTTGTGTATAAATCATGTATTTTTCAAGAATTATGGTTTCTAAATCAAGAATGAATAAATATTAGATATAAAGTATGTATTTTCTTCAAGAAACAAATCATAAGTTCAAATCAATGAGAAAATATTATTAGATCTAATAGGGATGAAAAACTTATAATTATATAGTATTAATCTCAATAAATGAGTTTAAGAAAAAACTTCTATCTTAATTTCTATAGATCTTGATCTTAAAATGTATTGTTGTGATTTTTACACGATAATCCTTCAAAATCTCTCCCTTTTTCTGTTCTCCAGTTCTCCTTAGCCTCTCGCGTTGAAAATTACTAAAAACTCACCTAAAGAATGTTCTTGAGATATTTACAAGGTCAAAAATTTTTCAATCACGCGTGAGCCTGATCTTTTTAAAATGTGCACTCACGTTCGAATGTGTTCTACTCCCAATATCTCATGCTTTGTTTGTTCTGTTTGTCTGGACTTAAACTTCTGGGGCTTGCGTTTAAACAAAAATTCACATTCAAACGGACTCTAGTTTCTATACAAAATTTCGAGGTAGTTTTGACTTAATTAGAAGTCGATTTACAAAATTTTCATGAATTATGATGGGTTAAGCCCAAAATAGTCAAATTTATGTGTTAAAGTCCAACTCCAGTTGAGGAGCCCAACCTCATTTTGAATCTACCAAGCCCAAGACAGTCCAAGACCGGTTAGACTTTTTGCTTAGCACGTCATCAAGAGGAGAGCATGAGAAGCTTATCTGCACCACCGAAGGAAACGGTCCAAACTTTGACCACGTTTCATGAAGAGCTCCCCAACCTCCTCCTTCCGTTGAGGATAGGTCATGATCTTCACCAGAATGATCTCTTAGCTGCTATAAAGTAGCCCCAATCTATGAGGAGACGAGAGAGAAAGGTCACGTCCCACCAACACTTATAGAGGACAGATCGACGACCAGAGACCACTTTCTTTGATTCTCCATTCTCTCAAAGCTTGTATCTCTATTCTCCATACTCTGAATTAATAAAATACCCGACAACTGAAGCCATTGAAGAGTGGACGTAGATCGAATTGACCGAACCACTATAAATTGTGTCTTCTTTAATTCTTTCATTGATTTCACTGTATTTATTATCTACACTTGACAGGTGGTGTACAAAACCATTTTTTTGCATCATCAAATTACACTTTTGTAACCCTTAAAGTCTACTTTCAAATGTCCAAAATTGACCTTCTGGATTCATTGGTGACCTTATTTTGACTTGAAAGTATTTAGAAACTTACTTAACACCCTTTTGAAGTTTAAACACCTCGAAAATTAAGTTTGACACGAAAATCAATATGTGTGAACTCAAATTTTATGATCAATCTTTCAACAATGATTCAAACTTCTTATCCTTGTTTGGAAGTATTCTTAAAACCATGTTATCCATTTGTAAATTTTGTATAGGGTCCTACAACCACATATCCTGATGCCACATCTTGTGGTTCCACCATTAATCCCTATAGCAATGTTATAAGAACCGGACTGGATCGGCCGGTCAAACTGGTTCAACCTTGACACGAGAGTTAGATCGATTCGATTCTATAGTTAGACTATATAAGGAATCGAATCGCTTTAAAACCATTAANGAACTGGATCGGCCGGTCAGACTGGTTCAACCTTGACACGAGACTTAGATCGATTCGATTCTATAGTTAGACTATATAAGGAATCGAATCGCTTTAAACCATTAAATCAGCCAATTTTGAGACAAACCTGTGAACTGAACGATTCTTTTAAACTGAGCGATTGAAATCTCAACTCTTCTATATTAAAAAAAAAATCCTCTATTTGGGGCATTTTGCCCTAAATCAATCGCA